GTTACACCTTCAGCCTTGGCTCTGGTTCAGTTTCTTGGCGTTCTACTCGCTCGTCTTCAGTTCTCAGCTCCAGTTGTGAGGCTGAGATCTACGCCACAGCCATGGCTGCACAGGAGTTACGCTGGCTCACCTACCTGCTGACCGACTTGGGAGAGCGGCCTCGTTCTCCTCCAGTGCTGTACGTCGACAACAAGGCTGCCATTGCCTTGTGTGAGGAGCACAGACTGGAGCACAGAACGAAGCACATCGCTCTGCGTTACTTCCTGGCTCGAGAGTTGCAGCAGCGTGGTCAGCTTCGACTGCGTTACGTGGCCACTCGGGCCAACACTGCTGATATATTCACCAAGGCACTTCAGTCTGGTGATCATCAGCGTTTCTGCACTATGCTAGGGCTTGTGCCCACCTTTCCTCACTTGCTGTAGGCTTTGCTTGTACTGTGATCCATATATATACCTGCATGCTTGCTTTGCTAGGTAGAGATCACTGTGCTGCTTGTGTTGCATATATGCCTCTGCATGTGAACTGGCCTAGTGGCCCTTTGCTTGTGCTCAGAGTGTGTGGTGACGTTGTGATCCACCCTGAGCTTGCTTTGCCTTTCTTGACTGGTCTTGTGACCCCTTGCTCTCCCCCACTTTGCCTATGGGGGTGTGTCAAATGTTATATCTGCTACAGTTTGTTTAGGCTGTAGTGGGGTAGTTATTATGGGGTACAGTAAGTTTAGGGTTTCCTACTTGTACCCAACTCTTTCCTAGTTCAATCACTCTTGTTCATTCTGACAGCTTCTGCTTTGCAAGCGAAATCACTTTGCCGTGGGATCCAGAATGGTGAGGCGTTAGCCTACCTTGCTGCCGCGTCTCACCTAACTAGGCCTAGAGATTCACTACCCTTGCTTTGCTCCTTCTCTAACCCGTGCCTCACATCGCCTTGACCAACAGGCACCTTCTGCAGGACTGTGTATTTGAAGGGCGCGACCTGGTGCCCCTCACGCTTTAAGGGAAATGCGCTGGCAATAGCCACGTGCACTAACGACCTTAACACACAGCGTGCACAGTGTGGTCTCCAATATCTGGTACGTCACAGGCATGGTGGACAGCCTGTCATGTGGATCCTTCCCTTGCTTCGCTCTGTCGCAATCACATTCCAAGGAATCTGGTTTCTCATGCCATGTGATCTAGCTTGTCACTATCACATGAAGGCTCGTCACATGCCAGATGTTCCATCAAGCGCCGTGTAGAACACTATCATACCTCTGCAGTGTGCTTCTGTTGAGACTGCCTTACTCTCCTCCCTTGCCCCACTCAGCGAGTGTGATGGTGCCTTGAAGGCCAGCAAGATCGGACTCCCAAATTGTGATTCTGAAGCCAGTGTGGAGAAGTACTCAAGAAAAAATTATTCTTCGTGTGATGTGTGGTTGTCTAAAGTTTCTTTGGTTTCTTGATAGAGTCTTGACCATGTATAATATATGGGGTGGATGGGTGCTTAGGAGATTGAATATCTGTGGGTTATGTGCTTGTATGTGTAATTGCTAATTTGAAAACGCTGTTAGCACATCTCTGCTATTGGCATAAGCCACCTAGTACTCAATGGTCAATAAGATTGGTCCAGGGAAAGAGCACCATAATCATACAAAGTATCTGCTGACAGATGGATTGACTCACCATTATTGTGCTTGCTGACCAGGCCACAGCAAGCCAGGGCAGATCAGGCCTTAGCAGGCCACAGAAGGCCAGACCAGGCAAGTGGAAGGCCCATACCACGTAGTATGACCATGCCGGACTAGGCGAAGACCGGGGATGAGGTAAGGGACAGTGTCGCGGTGGGTGGCGGGGAAGGTGAGGGAACTGCGGGTGAACTGGAGGCTTGGGGGTTCACATGAAAAGCACAAGCTCTCAGTTTCGTGAAAAAGGTGGTCTTCTCAATGGCAGCCTCCCCTTATGGTCCCCGTTGAGGTCCCCCCCACGCCACACAAACCCTTCTCCAGAATCATCAGCTCAGCTGCAACAGGTGCGGCTCCTTCCGTCCTTGACTCGTCCCGACGATGATGTTATTGCTGCGAGTAGGCTACTTGACCGCTGCCTTAAGGATTCCGCGGGCTCAGTTTCCACTCTAGGTACACACCCTCCACTGCTGTCCTTTACTGCTCCATAGGCTGCTAGGCCGCTTTCCCTGCTGCAGCTCCTGTGAGGGCAGTGAGCCACTGAATCTCCCAGTTTGGTGCCTCCCATGTGTTACGACTGCCTCCTTTGTTTCCACCCACTTCCTCTTCTGACACCTCCTGACCCCCCTGCTTCTCTCCGCCTTGTGTCCCCCAGCATATGCATGCTTGGTGGAGCGGGAGCAGGGGCTTTTGTTAGAATCTAGCAGCAGGAATGAATGAACTATGGAAGAGTTGGGTACAAATATGAAACCCTAAAGTGGGCTGTACCCCATATTGGCTACCCCACTACAGCCTAAACATGTATAGTAGATATAACGTTTGACACACCCCCATAGGCAAAGTGGGGGAGAACAAGGGGTCACAAGAACAGTCAAGAGAAGCAAAGCAAGCTCAGGGTGGATCACAACGTCACCACACACACTGAGCACAAGCAGAGGGCCACAAGGCCAGTTCACATGCAGAGGTATATATGCAACAATAACAGCATAGTGATCTCTACCTAGCACAGCAAGCATGCAGGTGTATATATAGATCACAGTACAGGCAAAGTCTACAGCAGGTGAGAAAACGTGGGCACAAGGCCTAACAAAGTGCAGAAACGCTGATGATCACCAGACGGAAGTGCCTTGGTGAATATATCAGCTGTGTTGGCCCGAGTGGCCACGTGAGCGAGACGAAGCTGACCACGCTGCTGCAACTCTCGAGCCAGGAAGTAACGCAGAGCGATGTGCTTCATTCTGTGCTCCAGTCTGTGCTCCCGACACAAGGCAATGGCGGCCTTGTTGTCAACGTACAGCATTGGAGGAGAACGAGGCCGCTCTCCCAAGTCGGTCAGCAGGTAGGTGAGCCAGCGTAACTCCTGTGCAGCCATGGCTGTGGCGTAGATCTCAGCCTCACAACTGGAGCTGAGAACAGAAGACGAGCGTGTAGAACGCCAAGAAACTGAACCAGAGCTAAGGCTGAAGGTGTAACCCTGTGACGACCGCTGCGTAGCCAGGTCGTCAACCCAAGAAGCGTCCGAGTGCCCAGTGAGGACAACTGGGCTCCGCCCTCCAAGCACGAGCCCCATGCCCGATGTACTGCACAAGTAGCGCAGTACCCTCTAAGCAGCAGCCATGTGCTCTGGTCTGTGCCTACCAGGAGCCACGTAGCGAGCCAGAAGGCCAAGAGGGTACGCAAGGTCAGGTCGAGTGCAGGTCATCAGGTACATGAGGCAGCCCACTAGCTCTGGGTACGGGCCACTCGGCTCTACGGACTCGTCCGAAGGTGGAGCTGAGAGCGAGTGGCCTGTAGCCAGAGGAGTGGCCTGTGCCGAGGACCAGGTGAAGCCGAAGCGCTGAAGGACCTGCTGCACCATGTGTGACTGAGTCAGTGTGATGGTGCGGCGTGCTCTGTCCCGGGTGATCTGCAAGCCAAGGTAGCTGCGCAGTTCACCCAGGTCTGTGTACGTGTGTCTCTTCTGCAGCTCCGACTTCACCAGGGCGAGAGCCTCAGTGTCAGCAGTGGCAAAGACCAAGTCGTCGACGTACACGAGGATGTAGAACGGCGGCAGCGACGTGTCGGTGCGCCGAAACAGCGACGGGTCAGCAGTCGACGGAGCAAACCCAAGAGCCGCAAGTGTAGTCCTCAGTGTGTCGTGCCACTCACGTGATGCCTGGCGGAGACCGTAGACTGGCCGCCGGAGGCTCCACTGGGTACCAGGAGGGAACGACCCAGTGAAGCCAGGAGGGCGGCGCAGCCAGATCTCCTCGTGCAGGCTGCCCTATAACAAAGCTGTGCTGAAGTCAAGAGAGTGAAGCTCGTAGTCACGCTGAGCGGCAACGTGCAGTAGCACCCGAAGAGTGGTCATCTTCGGGATGGGGGAGAAGGTCTGAAAGAAGTCAACTCCCTCTCGCTGACTGAAACCTCGAGCAACGTAACGAGCCTTGAAGACAGGCGGAGAATCTGGCGGCCGCTTCACCCTGAAAATCCACATGCCACTGACGATGTTCGCCCCAGGAGGGGGAACCTCGTCAACGTAAGTGCCTGTGGACTTCCAGGATGCGATCTCTGCGTCCATGGCTGTCTGCCACTGAGAGGAGTACTCACCCACGATCGCCTCAGCGTAAGAGTGCGGGGTCGGGATGTCTGGAGCATCCGGGTCTCCCTCAGGAGCATGGACACGAGGTGAGGCGCAGCGGCTGCAAGACACTCAAGGTCCTCTTGCCTGTCCTCAAGGACGTCCGTGCCAAGAGCACACTCACCCCCGACGGACGGAGGACAGACAGACTCAGACTCAGCAACAAGACTAGCGGCGTAGTCTAGACGACAGGCAGCAGCAAAGTCAACAAGCTCAGCAACAAAGGCAGACGCAGCAGCAGACTCAAACGACGGGTCAGTGACAACTGTGGCTAGCAGACGCGTGACAGATCCACGTCCGTGACAATGGGCCGATACCCAGTGAGCTGAGCCGCAAGATAACGTCTCAGTGGTCCGGCGATGTCCGTGTGTACCGAGAGGGAGTCTGCATGCAAGATGCGGGTAGGTCGCGGGATGTTGTGCTCGTCGACCGGGTGGTCGTTGTCCAGTATGACAAGGCTCCAGTGGCCGCTGCAAGAACGAACGCAAGATTGGGTGCCGCCATGAGACTTTGTGGTCGCGTACAGCTGCGGTGACGGATGACTACACATGTTAATGACTCACGCGCTGTGGATCGGAACTATGACCCACTTGTAGGTCAGGACATTCTCTCCGCACGCGAAGTTTCGCAATGCCGCTGCGGTGTTGTCACGGGAAATCAGCGTGTTAAAGTATGTCCCCGCGTATAGCCATGTCCGCTCTTCTCTCCTAGTCTCGTATTGCATCAAGCTGCATCAAACGAATGACGAGACGCGTTTAGCATGGATAACAACCTGGTGAATGGATAACGTATTCTACGTTACTCACATGCCCCACCACTCTATGATGTCGCCAGACACCCACTTTCCAGGGGACAGGGTGTCTAGCTGTTTCTGCGTCAACGATAACCACGAGCCACCGATTGGGTACGGGATACTGTACTTCTTCATACGGGAGGTAGGGGCCTTTGACTTCTTAGGAGGCATTGTAGGATGTATTACGAGCTTGAACCCTGAGGTCTACGTGGAAGCCGAGGATCTACGTTGACCAGCTCCTGAGTTCGTTCCGGCTCTTGAGTTTGCTCCTGTAGCTGAGGCTGTGAAAGCTGCTGGGGTTGCGGAGAATGTTGGCATTGAGGAGAATGCTGGGACTGCGGAGAATGGGGGGACAGCAGGGGCGGCAAGTGGGACTGGTCTGCTTCACTCCCTCCATGCCCCTGCTGCTGCCGCACGGCTGCTCGCTCTTCCCCCTCCTTTTCGCCATCCCCCTGCCAGTCCACCACTCCGCCCGCCTCACCCTCCTCCCCGTCTGTTTCCTCTCCCACCTCACCCCCTTGCCTGTCGCGTTCTTCCCCCTCACCCTCCTCCCCATCCGCCTCTTCTCCCGCCTCCTCCCTCTCCCCCTCCGCTTCTCTTCCACCCTCAGCGTCTTCCTCCCCCTCCCCGTCCGCCTCCGCTCCCTCCTCCGCCTCCTCCTCCCCGTCGCTGAGCCCCTGCAGCAGGCTCATCATATCGATCGCCTCGGGGGTGGGGCTCCGCCTCCGCTGCGGGCACGCTTCTTCCGCCTCTAGCTTCGGAGTCCGCGCGGAGACTCCCTCGGGGGTGGGGCTCCGCCGCCGCTGCGCGCACGCTTCTTCCGCCTCTAGCTTCAGAGTCCGCGCAAAGACTTCGCCGGGGCTCATTCCTGCTGCAACGTCGACCGCCTCGGGGGTGGGGTTCCTCCCCCGCTGTGCGCGCGCTTCTTCCGCCTCACCGCATTCTCCCCACCTATCCCCATCACCCACTCTCTGCTCGGATTCCGCTCCTGTCGCTGTACCCTCACACCCTGCTGTCGCCGGTGGGAGAACGGCGTCGCACAGCTCGCGAATGTCGCCGGCTTCGCATAAGTCGCACTGATCGCCTGGAGCAGGGATGTGTGAAATCTCTTTTGCGGAAACGTCGCCTGCTGGATCGTTCATGCACTGCTGGACGGAGGACGAGGCGTGAGCGACATTGCAACCGCTGGCATGCGACGACGGAATCGCCTGCGACGCATCTGGCTGGTGTTGCGACAACGAAGTTAACACGTGCGAGGAATCTTCTAGGAAGCCACTATCCAGCAGCCACCGACCAGATGCCGTTTTAGGTGTCTCCATTTCTGCCGCGCTCTCTGGCGGCACTGACGGCTCTCCAGTCGGTCTGTCGGCCGCCGTCAGAGAGACGACGGATTCTGTTACATTCTGACGGCCGTCGTCCGAAACCGGGCAGCTGGGGATGGAGCTAATGTCAGCTACGGATCCTCCGCTTTCCCGGCCGCAACAGAACAGCCAAAAAAAGTTTCCACGTTTTTTCCGTTTCCTGACCTTCCGAGCTCCGTTGCTGACACATAGCCCTGGGGAATCTCGACCGTCCGTTCTCCCGCTGCGAGGTTCCCTAGATCTGGACGAAGAACTGTGGTAACCCGCCCGGTGGCGATCTCGCAAGGGTGATGCCTGACGGTGAAGGCGAGACGAAGAGCGGAGGCTGAACGGAACGGACAAGGCAGAACCCATGCTGAGGCGACGGGAAACGTATTTTGAAATGGGTCAGATTATGCCTGGTACAAATACGCAGGCTTATTGGCGGTGACGGTGAGAGGAAGGGTATAGACTGAACGAGAAGGAGAAGGTATATCCCATGGAGACGATCCTGTGAATATCTGTCACCAGATGCAAAGCCAAAATGTGCCAGAGCGTAGTCGCTGGTTATAAATACACAAAACGCATTCCACCGACATGGCTGAAAATAAATGTACAAGCTACGAGAAGGCAATCGCAGCAGTCGTAAAAGTCGCGAAAAGCTTGAAGATGGGAAGGCCCACAGCCAAGTATAGTATAAGCTGTCTATTGTTTTCGTTCGCGTAAAAGAAAGAAAGAATCTGTGCGGAGGTGCTCGAGATGAGCACCTGCAACACGATTCAGCAGAACACGGTTTCTCTCACCCGTGGCAACTACTGCCAAGTCCCGACCATGTGAGCCGTTCATCAGTCATGCACAAACTTCGAAAATCGAAGAACGAGAGAAATAACCTGTCTCCGCTGTGCATTGCTCTCGATTTTCAAAGTAGCAAGGAGCCATATCTTCGCTGCTGAATCTGGAAACCAGTCTCGGCTGGCTGTTACTTGGAATTTGAAGTAAACCTGGAGGTCTCGTACAATATGGATGGCGTTTGAAGTTGGTATCGTTTCCGATGACCCTACAGATACAGAAGAGGGCTGAGTATGGCTTTGGAATAAAACATGATCACTGGCCTCAGGCCTAAGTCCGGCTTTTGAATATTAAGACCCTCAAGTAAGTTCTGTAAAAATAACACTCAATTCACGTCTATAAGTACACGTCCTGAGAGCATTACGACCAGCACCCCATCCGACCGGCAAGCTTGTTCGGCTGGCACAGGTCAGCAACCAAGACTAGGCACACTTCCAGGCATGGCGAACAAACAGCACACACCAGAACTCCTCCTGATCCCACGGCTCACATCCCTTTCTTCCCACAACGCCACCGTGCTTCGTTCGAATTCCCAGTCAAATTCAGATTCCCGCCAAGGTGTTACCAGAGCCTGGCTCGGCAGGGAGATTTTATTGGTGCGAACAAAAACCTGGGACCGAGCCAATAGTTCTGTTTCTTCTGACACATGGTTCGCGAAACTGACAAAGTAGGCTCGGTATATTCTCGATAAAGCGCCGTTAAGGTTGCGAGTCCGCAACCAGACTAGATTATGCACCATTTTTCATATAGATTTATAACAACAATACACTGCTCATCGTGACAATCTCGTGGACTTTCGGTAAGTTTTTGGTCCGAGCCGTTTGCAGTTCCAGTCGCAGCGCGCGCGGCGGGGAAGGATTTCGCTTTTCGCTTCAAATTCAAACGGCATGGCGGCAAGACAAACCATCAGAGAGGTCTTTCCCTTCACCCATGAACACAAGCAACTCATCGTGGCCGTCAGAAAAAATTGATCCCACCATTCACGCTCACAATCGAACGGTCATTGGAGCATGAGTAGAATTCGTCGTCGTCCGTTCCACGCCTGGGTGCTGCTGCCTGTCTGCTCTTTACTTTCCCACCCAGCCTTTCACTTGCAATTCTTGGCCTTGCGACTAGAATTCGATAGCAGCCAATTCTTGGCCTTGCGACTAGACTACCTGCTTGAGTACGAGAACTCGCGCTAGCTCATTCAGACCTTAGCCCTTGCCTTGTTCTTCATTCTGGTAGTTGCCTAGTAGTACTTGCTCGTTTTGGCTCTAGAAAAATTTCGTTAACGGTAGTTTTAAGGTTAGTAAGGAAATCTCCTAACTTTGTCAGCGCTACGACTGAGTCCGTAACTAACAAGAAAATTTCTCGCGACGCTCACAAAACAGATTCATCATAAAGTATTCTAACTGCGATGGCCGTGGATACACCCGTACTGGGCGTGCGTACTCGCAGCAGGGCCCGAGCTCAGTTGTTCTCCAGTCCCGTCCCGCCAGGTTAGCAGCACCTGCTGGCCGCTTCCAGTTTCATTTTATCGCCTTCCCTTCTGTTCCTTCCGCTCTCTGTTTATTGTTTAATTCCGTATTCCGAATTCGCAAACCTAGTATGTACTCTTATTTACTGCAGGAACGACGACACCCATGCCAACGCAGCGAAAGCCAACAACTTCTAAGCGACAGCCTGCGAGAAATCCTCGACCGCGACCTGCTCTATCTGACGTCACCAACGACACGTCAGCCGAGCTCACTGCCTCCAGCAAGCCTACTCAGCCTTCTCCGTTAAATACGGCTGTGCTTCCTACGAAGCCACCCGTCGTGCCTGCTGATCCGTGCACTCCTGCACCTTTGACTTCTAAAGGATCGCGACTGGTCGAATCCGGCGATGGAGCACATGATGACGGCGCTGAAGCTCTTCGGAGCGAGGTGTCAAAGCTGCTTCTCTCAACGCCGTGCCAAGAGGAGACCCCCGAGATTGTCGCGAAGAGCCGGTCGAAGCTGACGAGGCAGAGCAGCTCGCCAAATTGGAATGGCGTCACATCGCCGTGCAGCCAGGCGACGCTGACGAGGCAGCACAACATACAGCGCTGCTTCAGCATCCAAGAACCGATCTCTGCGACGTATGGAGATGTCGCTGGCGACGACGGCGGCAGCGGCGAAGATTTCGCACACCTCGACCTGTGCGACCCGTGCGACCATACTCCGCAGGCCGTGGCTCCTCTCCGTCGTCGCAGAGCGGCCGTTCTTGCTTCGCCTACCGTCATGTCCGCCGTTAAGGGCTCGGCGACGCTGACGTCATCGCTGAGCCTCTACGCCGCGCCCACGCCGCACAACTCCCCCGAGGAAGCACCCGCTCCTGCTCCCGCACTCGTCCGTTGCGCCACCTCCCCCATCCCGCGCGCTAGGTCTCCCATTCCCCGCTCCACGTCGTCGATCGGCGGTGTGGCGGGATCCGCGGGAGGGGTATTGGCGGAAGGCGGAACGGGGAGGCGGAGCCGCGCCAAGTGGCAGGTTGGCGGAAAGATCGGCGCTGTGCTGGGGAAGGACCCCGCGGGACTGCTAGCTGCTATTAACGCTATTCGCGAGGTGAGAGAGTAAGGGGTTAAACACGATTGAAGTAGATCAGCGCAATCTCAAAGTTCCCCTGCTTCCAGTCGATTTCTTGTTATCCAATCTGACCGTTCGTCCTTGCTAATCTCCTGTGTCCTGGTCCCTGCAGCAGCATCGTGGCTCACAGCAACGTCATTACGATGCCGCTGATGAAGGCGGCTCTGCAACCACAACCCGCCGGCTGCGTTCCTCACTCGCCTCCCAGCTCTCTTCCCCCGCGCTCCCCGCGGGGATCCCCCCCGCAAGCCGTCGCGCGCCAAACTCCGCCACCGCTGGAACGGGAGGGCCGCGCGTCCTGCGCCCCCGTTCCCCCTCCCCCATGCGCCGGGCGCGCAGCCCGCGGGCGCTCTCCTCCCCAGCCCCCGACCACGGTGCGCCGCCAGTTTCTCGCTATCAGGATGAGATCCCAGCCGTTGCTGGTAGTATCGGCGCTGGCAGTGCTGTCAGCACTCCGTTACGCACACCTGCAAGTCAACGCCAGTCAAGAAGTGGTGGGGAGTCTCCGCCTTGGTCCACGCAAGTAAATGTTGGAACGCCTGGGAGCAGGCGGAGGGGCGGGTGGGCGCTGAGAAGGTCCGAGGATGAGGATGAGGAGGCGGAGGAGGGAGAGGGGGCTGTGAAGGGGAAGGAGGGGGGAGGAAGGGGGATTGTAAGAGAGCGGCCTCTGAGCAAGGGGCTGTTGGATGCTCTTGAGAAGATGGGATTGGAGGAAGAGGGTGTGATTGGCCTGCCAACGGAGTAGCAGGAATGAAATGGGTTTTTATTAAGGGTGGAATCGAAGGAGAGGATAGCTTGCCGCATGACGGGGATTAGTGCTTATGCTAGGAAGTTCCCTTCTTGGGGACTGGACCATAGCTTGCTGGGTATAGCAGGATTGTTGTCATTACTCTTATTTGAAATTCTTTATTCAGGTTCTGGCCAATTTCGCGTAGTTTGCTTCGTTGCCATGTAACATTTCCGGAAAAATTACTTAGTTGGTAGAACGAGCTTTTGCAGTCACTCCTTCCTGATCGTCACATTGGCGTGGTTGAGGTACATGTTTCGAAGCGACGCGCTTCGATTGGCTGGAGTTGTCCTCGACATTCTCGAAGACTCTTCGCGCCACACAATCAAAATTGCTTCCATCCAATCCGCTCCACGTGCCTCGTCATTTCCAGGTCAGCTCAACCGCACTCTGCACCGTTCTGCTTGCGTGTCCATCGGGCTTTTCGCCACGCCGCCTCGAGCTGTTCGAGAATGCCACCACCGCAGCGCGGACGCAGGTCCACCAATCTGCGACGGGCAATACGTCGTTCTCCCCCAAGAGCCTGACGCCTAATCTCTCCAACTTCTCTCAAGTAAACGCTGAATGTGAATAGAATGGCTGGAGCAGAAGTTTGACATCTCATAGAACCGAAGGTAATTTCTTTTACAACGTTGCGTACCGTTCCTGACGCTCCGTCACCTTCCTGACACTCTCATTGTGCTGTTCGTCAGAGATCAGCTGCTATCACTGAGTTTCTCGACCACACATGAGCACAAGCAGCATTCACTGCAGAAGCTGTTTCCCGCTTGTGCCTACGGCCATATGAGATTTCACTTAGGGCGTGGGCCCAATCGAGTTTGATCGCCTCGATCACATGCGATCAATAATTTCTAGGAAGCCTGGAAGCCAATTTTATGCAATCAGGGGCAATCAGCTGATCGCGATCAACTGATCGCCCCAACTCAATCAGACCCGATTTTCACCCCGATCAAAGTCGTTTTTCCTCGATCACAGGCGATCACCTGATTGCATGTGATCGGGGCCCACAACGACGCTTGCGAGTAGTTACACTGTTAAAATTACAGGGAAAATATAACTTTCGCCAGGTGACGTATGGTCGCCAATCTCGCTAGAATGGGGACGAAACTGCGACGTAAATGTACAGCGCTTGCTCCGCAGGCGCAGAAAATCTTCTTCGAAAAACATCTCTGATCGGGCGGCTCGGGCACTGCGATCACAAGCAACCCGATCAGATCCGACCCGATCAGATCAATCGCGATCAAACTCGATTGGGCCCACACCCTTGTGGAGTCTAGACCTGCTCCAGCACCAGAAATTGCCGACTCAAATTTCGGATTGCATCTCTTGTAAGATTCTTCGAAACTTCCCTCATGGCGGCGCATGTCGCGTCGAGCTCCCCAATCGTCTGTTCCTCCGCTCTCACACCCTCGCGGCCACGTCATCACCGAGTAGCAATAAATCACAGCCTGTCCTTGATCAGCGGCGGGAAACCTGGCGGATTTAGAGTCGGCCACAGAAATTCGCTTAGTTTTGAGACGTCACGAAACTCTCTGAAAAGGAATTCCAAGAACCATCATGATCATGGTTTCCTTGAGAAAATTCACTCTCGAACGCTCTCTTCCGCCAAACGGACTGCGGCCACATCGCCGGTCGCCGTGGCCGTATCACTCGAGTCGCCGCCGGCGACGAGCATCAGTACCGCAGCAGCTGCAGGTTCCGGGGAGAAGAGAACGAGAAGGCAGAGAAAGCGCAGGACCGGTTCGAACCCAGACGAATTGGCCTTAACCGATGAAGATTTGCTTAAACGCTTATCAAACCAGCAGGTAGATAACGCTTCTAATCCTTATGACACTGCTGCTGGTGCTCCCTTCATGAAGCTCGACCCCTCTGCGACGGGTCTGTCGCTCGTCGCAGAGGTCGCAGCGTTCCTCGTGCGACTAGACGACGCTGATTTTGCGTCGTCATCTTCGTCGTCGTCGTCGCAGGCTTCGAAGAGCTCTGACAACGATCATGACGGCGACGCGGCGCGGTTAGAAGTCACGCGGGAAGTGCGCGAGCAGCTCGAGGCCGCGTGGAATCTCAGCCCCAGCGACGCCGGGCGCGGCGCCAGGCGGAAACTTGTCAAGGGACGGCGGTTTTTGTCCGCTTCTGCGACGAAGCTGCCAACAGGGGTGGTGGCGGAGGTGGAAACCGATGTGGGCGGAAGCGTGGCGGAAATGGATCCTGCAGCGCGGAAGCGGGCGATGCGGAGGAGGTTGCGCGCAGCCGCGCTCGCGATGGGCTTGCGGATGAGCGGAAACGCGCTGGGAATGGTGGAATATGGGCAGGCGGAAGCGGAAGGGGAAGTGGCAGAGGCGGAAGCCGCTTCAGCTTCCCCGCGCGTGCAGGGAAGTGGCGGAGCGAGAAGAGGTTCCGCGGGATGGGGAGCGGCTAAGGGGATCACGATGAGCGAGGAGGAGGTGTATGCACTGATTCGTGACTATGGCGGGGGTGATACAGCGATGAACGTTGATTGGACGCAGCCGCGCTCGTTGCTTCCGGCGAAAGAGGAGCTTAGACTGGCGGAACTGATACAGCGCGGGAATGCGAGTGATATATATATATACATATATATATATATATATATATATATATTTTTTTTTTTTCCGGCGGAAAAATGTGAATGATGAAACGAGTGGGATAATGCGATGTGACGTGACGACTAGTGATGATTGGATTGGATCTGATCAAGTAGCATGACCTCAAATATCTCAGTTACTACAGCAGCGCATCTCGGCTTCTTCTAACAAACTGAACCTCCGCATTTTCTCCTAGAGCTGTTCCTTTGTTTCTTTCACCATTCCTTTTCTCCCTTTCGACACGTCTCACGACCCCCCCTCCTCTTTCACAACCCCTCGTTTATCCTCTTTACAGGAACTCGAAGAGCGAGCTAAGATCGCTGCAACCTCTGCCAGGCCTGCTTTTTGAGTCGACTCAAAACACGACTCATTTCACGCACACCCCCTCGTGTATCCTCGTAACAGGAGCTTGAAGAGCGAGCTAAGATCGGTGCGACCTCAGCCAGGCCTGGGGACTCTGATTCAGAGGCAGCAACCTCAGTTGCTCGTGAGGTGACTGCAGAGGGGGAAGCAGATGGGGAAGCAGAAGCAGATGGGGAAGCAGAAGCAGATGGGGAAGCAGAAGCAGATGGGGAAGCAGAAGCAGATGGGGAAGCAGAAGCAGATGGGGAAGCAGAAGCAGATGGGGAAGCAGAAGCAGATGGGGAAGCAGAAGCAGATGGGGAAGCAGAAGCAGATGGGGAAGCAGAAGCAGATGGGGAAGCAGAAGCAGATGGGGAAGCAGAAGCAGATGGGGAAGCAGAAGCAGATGGGGAAGCAGAAGCAGATGGGGAAGCAGAAGCAGATGGGGAAGCAGAAGCAGATGGGGAAGCAGAAGCAGATGGGGAAGCAGAAGCAGATGGGGAAGCAGAAGCAGATGGGGAAGCAGAAGCAGATGGGGAAGCAGAAGCAGATGGGGAAGCAGAAGCAGATGGGGAAGCAGAAGCAGATGGGGAAGCAGAAGCAGATGGGGAAGCAGAAGCAGATGGGGAAGCAGAAGCAGATGGGGAAGCAGAAGCAGATGGGGAAGCAGAAGCAGATGGGGAAGCAGAAGCAGATGGGGAAGCAGAAGCAGATGGGGAAGCAGAAGCAGATGGGGAAGCAGAAGCAGATGGGGAAGCAGAAGCAGATGGGGAAGCAGAAGCAGATGGGGAAGCAGAAGCAGATGGGGAAGCAGAAGCAGATGGGGAAGCAGAAGCAGATGGGGAAGCAGAAGCAGATGGGGAAGCAGAAGCAGATGGGGAAGCAGAAGCAGATGGGGAAGCAGAAGCAGATGGGGAAGCAGAAGCAGATGGGGAAGCAGAAGCAGATGGGGAAGCAGAAGCAGATGGGGAAGCAGAAGCAGATGGGGAAGCAGAAGCAGATGGGGAAGCAGAAGCAGATGGGGAAGCAGAAGCAGATGGGGAAGCAGAAGCAGATGGGGAAGCAGAAGCAGATGGGGAAGCAGAAGCAGATGGGGAAGCAGAAGCAGATGGGGAAGCAGAAGCAGATGGGGAAGCAGAAGCAGATGGGGAAGCAGAAGCAGATGGGGAAGCAGAAGCAGATGGGGAAGCAGAAGCAGATGGGGAAGCAGAAGCAGATGGGGAAGCAGAAGCAGATGGGGAAGCAGAAGCAGATGGGGAAGCAGAAGCAGATGGGGAAGCAGAAGCAGATGGGGAAGCAAGCATTGCACGTGCGGAACAGAAGCAGGAGAAGCGGCATGTGCTGTCGCATGCGGAGTGGGCAGCTCTCTGCCATCTGACTCCCAAGCAGCTGCACCGACAACTGCTGGCAGCCCAGGCTGCACGAACCAAGCTCGTTCTGGTGAGTGCTGCAGAATGGGAATGGAGGGGTGCAGAGTGGTACTGCTGGGTTTCAGCAGTGCGGTGCTGGTAATTCAGTGTGGTGTTTTCTCACCGCGTTAAATTCACACGCTCCCAGGTTCCAGCACCTGTGAACACATTTCACAGGCTTCGTGCATCTCCTTTTTGGCTTCATGCCAAACACCTAGCGAGGCATGTTAAGATCAGCACAGAATCATCTGCATACATATCCTTTTGCCCCTCTGTTCTGTGCCTTCCCTACCACCCTCTTTCCCTGTCTCCCTGGTGTGTCCTCCCACAGTCTTCCGCTGTTTCCTAGATTTCACCCACCCCTCTTCCACAATCCGCCATCAGCAGAATCTGCGTCTCGTGCTCTCAGTCGCCCACTCCTTCCGCCTCTCCACGGACCACCAGAGCCGACTTCATAGGACTGTTTTGAGACGTCTCAAAACAAATCTTTATGCACGTGGCTACTCTCCACGGACCACCAGAGCCGACTTCATAGGACTGTTTTGAGACGTCTCAAAACAAATCTTCATGCACGTGGCTACTCTCCACGGACCACCAGAGCCGACTTCATAGGACTGTTTTGAGACGTCTCAAAACAAATCTTCATGCACGTGGCTACTCTCCACGGACCACCAGAGCCGACTTCATAGGACTGTTTTGAGACGTCTCAAAACAAATCTTCATGCACGTGGCTACTCTCCACGGACCACCAGAGCCGACTTCATAGGACTGTTTTGAGACGTCTCAAAACAAATCTTCATGCACGTGGCTACTCTCCACGGACCACCAGAGCCGACTTCGTAGATCTCTGTCAGCATGGCGGCTCCAGTTCCCTGCTCGCTTCTTCTCAGCCAACCCCTCAACCCTCCATCCCTCTCTCAACCACCCCTCCCAACCTCCTCTTGCTTGCAGCACAACCTTCGTCTCGTGCTCTCCATCGCCCACTCCTTCCGCCTCACCACGGGAGCCGACTTCATCGCTGTCTGCCAGCGCGGCCTAGAGGGGCTCACCACAGCTGCCCGCCGCTTTGACCCCGCCAGAAAGCTGCGCTTCTCCACCTTCGCCACGCATGCTGTCAGGACAGCGATTATCCGTGCCATCCCCTCGACCCAGTTTGTCCGCATGCCGGCTAGGAGCTCCATGGTGAGTGCGTGAGTGTCTGAGGGTGTTGTGAGTGTGCAAGGGGGTGATGTGACCCCGCCAGGAAGCTGCGCTTCTCAACCTTCGCCACTCATGCTGTCCGCACGGCCATTATCCATGACATTCCATCCACTCAGTTCGTGCGCATGCCAGCTAGGAGCTCCATGGTGAGTGTGTGAGTGTCTGAGGGTGTTGTGTGTGAGTGTGCAAGGGGATAATATAACCCCACCAGGAAGCTGCGCTTCTCAACCTTTGCCGCGCGCGCCTTCAGGACAGCCATCACTCGTGCCATTCCGTCGATGCAGTTCGTGCACATGCCCGCTAGGACCTCCATGGTGAGTCGGGCTTGTGAGGTCTCTTTCCCGAGGCCATTTAGAGGGTCTCACCATTGCTGCCCGCCGCTTTGACTTTTCCAGGCGGCTGCGCTTCTCAGCCTTCGCCACTCATGCTGTACACACCACCATCATCCGTGCCATTCCAGCCACTCAGCTCGTGCGCATGCCGGCTAGGAGCTCCGTGGTGAGTGCGTCAGTGTCGACAAGGCCAGAGCATCAGTGGAGCATCTCGTGTCTTGCGCGTGCACATGATGTCTCAACTCTCAGGCTCAAGTTGTTTCCATTCCTCACTCTTTCCCCTCTCAAGGTGCGTTATCTTGAAAAGCCTCTTCATATTCGCCCCCCCCTTCTCCCCACCTCCTCTTCCCCTCCTTCACCTTTCTCGAAGACAGTCATTACAGTGAGCACGGGAAGAGCAATAGTGGAGAACTGGCTGGGCCGTAGGGCCACTGTAGCAGGAGTGGCGGCAGAGCAGATGCGCCTTGTATTCCGCAATACACATACAACATTCCTGAGCAGAATCTCAAGTTTCCATCCTCCCTCCCACTCCCCCCATCCCCAGACTCTCATTTCGGTGCGTAAGGCAAGAGCAACAGTGGAGAACCGGCTGGGCCGTAAGGCCACTGTAGCAGAGGTGGCAGCAGAGGCCGGCCTCTCTGCCGCCCAGTGCCGTGCCGCCCTTGCCGCCCCTCTCGTCACCCGCCCCGTCTCCCTGCACGCCGCGTCGCGGGTCACAGGGCTTGCACTGGAGGACACTATAGCGAGTACGGATGGTGGTGAGGGTGGCTTGGTTGCCACAGGCCCTGCCACTACCAGTGCTACTCTTTCTGCATCAACTGCTGCTGCAACTGCTGCTGGTGTTGGTGCTGCTGGTGCTGCTGCAACCGCTGCAACTGCTGCTGTTGGTGGTGCCAGTGGTGATGGCGGTGTGGGGAGCAGCATGAGTGCACAGGGAGGCGCGCTAGGGCACACACGAGCAGCCCTTGTTGCCGTGGTACGCAGTTGTGCTGGTGGGATGGGCTGTGGGATGGGTGGATTTCAGGTAAACGGCAGCATGAGGGAAGCATGAGTGTGCAGGGAGGTGCACTGGGGCACACACGAGCAGCCCTTGTTGCCGTGGTACGCAGTTGTGCTGGTGGGATGGGCTGTGGGATGGGTGGATTTCAGGTAAACGGCAGCTTGAGGGAAGCATGAGTGTGCAGGGAGGCGCACTGGGGCACACACGAGCAGCCCTTGTTGCCGTGGTACGCAGTTGTGCTGGTGGGATGGGCTGTGGGATGGGTGGATTTCAGGTAAACGGCAGCATGAGGGAAGCATGAGTGTGCAGGGAGGCGCACTGGGGCACACACGGGCAGCCCTTGTTGCCGTGGTACGCAGTTGTGTTGGTGGGATGGGCTGTGGGATTTAGGGCTTTCCAGGTATTGGCAGCATGGGGAAAGCAGCATGAGTGTGCAGGGAGGCGCGCTAGGGCACACACGAGCAGCCCTTGTTGCCGCGGTAAGCAGTGGTGGTAGGGTAGCAGTGTGGAAAGGTGGGAGTGATAGGGCGTGGGATGAGATGAGGTAAGCGGTGGTGGCAGTGGTGTTGGGGTTTGGAAATTGCAGTTTGGTTCCGAGCTAGCATATGAGAAGAGCGAACATAAAGCCATGTGAGAGCATGCGTGGTCACATGTGAGAGCATGCGTGGTCACATGTGAGAGCATGCGTGGTCACTGTGAGAGCATGCGTGGTCACATGTGAGAGCATGCGTGGTCACATGTGAGAGCATGCGTGGTCACATGTGAGAGCATGCGTGGTCACATGTGAGAGCATGCTTAGTCACATATGAGCAAGGTTAAAAAAAACGACCGTTTTTTTGAAAATTTACCGTAAAAAACGGTATCGTAAAATACGGTCGTAAAAAACGGTTTAAAACGGTTCCAGGAGGTGTTTCCTGTTTAACTAACAAAACGGCCACTTAGTGGGACCAAATTGAACCCGAAATGCAGCAGCATGAAGGGGACGGACCCCTTCTTGCATGTATGCGCTTGTTGGCATGATTGAAAATGTTTTTGGCCTTGTTTTTCTCTTTTTTTTCTTGGTGAACAGAGTTCTCTAACAAAAAAACGACCGTTTTTTTGAAAAATCACCGTAAAAAACGACCGTATAAAACGGACCGTATTTTACGAAAACCGTAATTTTGAACCTTGCATATGAGAGCATGCTTGGTCACATGTGAGAGCATGGCACGATACACACACACACACACACACACACACACACACACACACACACACACACACAGCCACTGTGCTGAGGTGATGGTCTTTCCTGGGGACTCTGTTCTCTTTCTTCCCTCTGCCTCTGCTAATCTAATCTATCATTCCCCTTCCCCGATTGATTACCTTCCTTCCCTTGCACTCACAGCTTGACACGCTACACCCGCACGAGGCCACCGTGCTGAGGTGGCGCTTCGGGCTGGGCGGCAAGGACGGCGAGGGCGTGGGGGAGGTGTTAACCCTTCGGCAGATAGCAGCCAAGATGGGTCTGTCATATGAGATGGTTCGGCGGTACGAGGCACGGGGACTGCTGAAGCTGCAGGTGCCGGCACGAGCCCAGGCGCTGCAGGAGAGTCTTCAGGGGGATTTGTGATATTGATTCTGCTGAAGAGATGGGGGTTGTCTTAACCCTTCGGCAAATAGCGGCTAAGATGGGCTTGTCATATGAGATGGCTCGGCGGTACGAGGCACGGGCCCAGGCTCTACAGGAGTGCCTGCAGGGCGATTTGTGAGTGTGACTGTAATGAGTGGTTGGGAGAGGCTCTGTCTCTTTTGCCAGATAGTGGCCAAGATGGGTCTATCATATGAGATGGTTTGGCGGTTTGAGGCACGGGGCCTGCTGAAGCTGCAGGTGCCGGCACGGGCTCAGGCTATGTAGAGCCTGCAGGGGGAATTGTGATTGTGTAGGGATGGAGCTATGTAGAGGCTAAGTTTGGCTTGTATGAAATGGTTCGGCAGTACGAGGCTTGGAGGGCTCCAGAAATCCTGGAGTTGCCAAAGCTCCTTTGTGAATGAGACCAGTGCAGCATTTGTGAGGCTGATTTTTTCAAGCAGCATACCGACCAGCATGAAAATTGAAACCCCAGTTTCTGTAGAGACCCACCAAAAGCAGTGTACATTACGTAAGTGAAAAGGTAGATGAAAACGCCCCATTACAGATTTCAAGCGGAGAGAATGCCAAGTCAGTGGTGGGTGAACATGCTGGGCTCCAACATATTATTAAAAAGGTGGAAACATTTTTGTGTCCATGTCAGAATTTTGTACATTGATCAACGTTGGGCATCACAAAGCAGTGGCGAGTGGCCCTGTATCGGTTTGGTATTTTCTGGTATCACCTAGGAGTTGTCCAGGTTATCAGCAGTGCTTTGTGGCTTGTCCGAAACGAGTCAGTCAGTCCAGCCAAGCGCACCGTGCTCCTGAGTTGAGAGCCTCGGGTCGCGTTGATACCGGAATGTCGCTCGGTCCCTCGACGTTATCTAGTGGTCGTGGCTGTTGGCGCGTCAGTTTGAGCACCGAACCGCCTGACGGCCTCGGGGATGTCGTGGCGAATGGCGTTCAACGCGGAGACTCGAGAATTAGGAGTTTTCTAGAGGTTGCAGTTGCCGGTGTTTGCGTGCCGTTTTCCCGAGCAGCCACCTGCTTGAGGGCCTCGGGAATGTCGTAGCGAATGGCGTTGAAGGGAATGCTCATGTCGTCGCTGTAAATCCGATTCGCCCGCTCCAATGAGTCCTGGACCGTCGAATCCGATGGAGGGAAGGGGAGGCAACAAGAACATTTTGAGAGAATATGAATGGAATTGACGAAACCGAACCGAACCGGTTAGTATCCACGTTGTCGTGTTACGAGCGATGCAGACTGACCAACGCACTCGGGTTATCTGATTGGAAGAAAGCACTTAGCAACACACAGCACCCACCTTATCAAATGGGAAAGGCAGCACAGAGCACTCAACTTATCGTACAACTGCGCGGAACGCTGGTCCGCGCCTGTGAGCTGGGGAGGAACTTGCCCTTCTGCTGGACAATCCCAAGGCTCACCTTATAGCAGAAGGCTGTACGGAGCACTCAACTCATCAAATGGGAATGGCAGCACTGAGCACTCACCTTATCGTACAACTGTGCCGAACGCTGGTCCGCGCCTGTGAGCTGGAGGGACTTGCCCTTCTGGAAGATCCCAAGATCTGACGTGTTGAGCTGACGCATCACTGCTGCCACGTCAGCGGACATGTTCTCGAAGCGACCCACAAAGTCGTAATGCACGCGATCCAACGCACAGAGGTCGATCTGGAGGGGTGAGGAAGCAGGGAACGAGCAGAGACGAAGAGATACTTGCAGGAATCGATAAAGGAAGTTCTCATTAGGGATCGATTTAGCGACCCGCCAAGTCGTAGTGCACGCGATCCAACGCACAGAGGTCGATCTGGAGGGGTGAGGAAGCAGGGAACGAGCAGCGATGAAGAGATACTTAGAGGAATCTAGGAAAGGAAAACTTCAGCAGGGATCAATGAAGCGACCCGCAAAGCCATAGTGCACGCGATTCAACACACAGAGGTCGATCTGCAGGGAAGCGGGAGAGGGGAATCAGGAGAGATAAGGAGATACGAGCTGGATTCGAGAGGGAAAGTTTCATGCAGGAACTGAGGGGGAATGAAGCGATCCAAAGCACTGAGGTCGACTTGTGGGGGTTGAAGGAGAGGGGAATGACTGGGTGAGTAGCTGAAGCTGGATTCAGTGGGACGGATTGGGATGGCACATGAAACATGTTAGCCGTGTTCCATTCATGGCTAGCAAACACCCACCAAGCATCACCATCTATCACAGCCACCCATCAGCCTCAAAGCAACCCAGCATCCTCACCTGCTTGTCAATGTGATTCTCGATCGTATCCGCATCCCCCTTAAGAGCCTCCTCCACAAGAACCAGATACTCCGCAAATGAGAATTCACTCGTGGGGTGCTCTTTTAACATCTTCTTGAGCTGCTTGGTCTGCCCAAACATGGCGTCCGCCCAGTACAGCCGCGCATCGCCCTCATTCGTGAAATTCCGCGCGTGCACAAACTTGTCGAGGAACGCTGACGTGGCGCGCGTGAGAGGGTTGCGCACGAACGTGAATCGGAACACGTCCCGCCGCGTGATGAAACGGATGGCCGCCTCCTCGTGCAAATCTGGGAGTTCTGTGAGTCCGTTCAGCCCACGCAGGTGAATCATCTTAAAATCCTCGGTCGTTATGTTTATTGCTGCTGGCTCTGACGCTGCTGCTGCTGCTGCTGGTGCTGCTGTCCCTTCTGCTGCTGCTGTTCCCCCAACCCCAGCATCTGCTGCGGCCGTCCCATTCGCAGAAGAACCCGCGTTGTTGTCAGAGCTGGTCTTGTTGAAAGAGTGGAACTCGGAGTAGTTTCCACGAAGCTTCATGAGGCGGAACCAGAGCTTCCAGCTTGTGTTGCCCACCTTGGGGAGCGCGCAGTAGAGCACCTTGAGGGACTCTGGGAGTGGGGAGAAGGGGGCAGAGCGAGGAGGAGATGAAGAGCTGAATGCGGTTTTCATGATGCTTCCCGCTCGTGGGACTCTGGAGGGGGGGGACGAGAGGAGGGAGTGCAAAGGCAGGATATAAGGGCCTTTTTCATGATGCTTCCTGCTCGTGTTGCCTACCTTAGGCAGCGCGCGGTTCAAGGCCTTGAGGGACTCTGAGGGATGGAGGGGGGACGAGAGGAGGGAGTGCGAAGGCAGGAAGAGGAGGGTCTTATTCATGATGCTTCCCGCTCGTGCTGCCCACCTTGGGCAGCGCGCGGTTCAAGGCCTTGAGGGACTCTGAGGGATGGAGGGGGGACGAGAGGAGGGAGTGCGAAGGCAGGAAGAGGAGGGTCTTATTCATGATGCTTCCCGCTCGTGCTGCCCACCTTGGGCAGCGCGCGGTTCAAGGCCTTGAGGGACTCTGGGGGATGGAGGGGAGGGCGGGAGAGCGAGGAGGAGATGAAGAGCTGAATGCGAGACTTCTCAAGAAACGGAACCAGAGTTTCCAGCTCGTGTTGCCAAACTTGGGCAGCGCGCAGTACAGGGCCTTGAGGGACTCTGGGGAGGAGGGGGGAGGGGGGGAGGGGGGGAGGGGGAGGGGGAGGGGGGAGGGGGGAGGGGGAGGGGGAGGGGGATGTGGACAGGAACAGGAGGGTCCAAGTCATGACTTGTGTTGCCCACCTTGGGCAGCGCGCAGCAGAGGGCCTTGAGGGACTCTGAGGGGGAAAGGAGAGGAGGAGGGGGTGGGGGGGAAGAGGAGGAGGACAGAAAGAGGAGGATCTGATTCAAGAATCAAGTTTTTTCATCAGAGCAGATGTTAGAGAGGTTTAGAGAGGGGGGGGGGGTGACTAGAGGGCATTGGAGGGCAGTCCAGGGCATTGCAGGGCACCTTCACAGTTCACTCCCCATCCACCCACCATCCACCCACCATCCATTCACCATCCATTCACCATCCATTCACCATCCATTCACCATCCACTCAGTTGACTTTTGAGTCGACTCAAAAGTCAACTCACCATCCACTCACCATCCACAATCATGTGTTGGGCGAATTTATTCTCCAAGAGCGGTTCTGGGCACGCAGCAGCACACAGCGATGGCTGCACCACTCTGAACGCCCCTTGGAGCCCTCGGGATTGCCGCACTGACCTGCGCTCATGCATCTGACGAATCGAGCGCCTACTCTCCCAGCACCCCAACACACACAGTCCCCTCACTCCCCTCACTTATTCCCCATCCACCCACCATCCACGATCATGTGTTGGGCGAATTTAGTCTCCAGCAGCGGTTTGGGGCACGCAGAGGCACACAGCGCCGGCTGCACCACGCGGAATGCCCCCTGCAGCCCTCGGGATTGCCGTGTTGACCGGCGATCATGCATCTGACAAATCAGACCGCCTACTCTCCAGCACCCCAACACACACAGTCCCCTCACTCCCCTCACTCCCCTCACTTATTCCCCATGCACCCACCATCTACAATCATGTGTTGGGCGAATTTATTCTCCAGCAGCGGTTTGGGGCACGCAGCAGCACACAGCGCCGGCTGCACCACTCTGAACGCCCCCTCAAGCCCTCGGGATTGCCGGGTTGACCCGCGCGCCACAACGAATGTGAAGGCGGGTGACTTGTGAGTGAAGATGAGCGAAGGGGCGTCTGCAAGCAGAAAAAGCTCTGCTAGCTGGATGGGGTTGCGGTGGGGGGGACGGGGGCAAGGAAGGAGAGGAAGGAGGGAGCGTGGGTGCCTCTGCTTAACCTTGGGATTGCCGCGTTGACCCGCGCGCCACAACGAATGAGAAGGCGGGCGACTTGTGAGTGAAGATGAGCGAAGGGGCGTCTGCAAGCAGAAAAAGCTCTGCTAGCTGGAGGGGGTTGCGGTGGGGGGGAAGGGGGCAAGGAAGGAGAGGAAGGAGGCAAGGAAGGAGAGGAAGGAGGCAAGGAAGGAGAGGAAGGAGGCAAGGAAGGAGAGGAAGGAGGCAAGGAAGGAGAGGAAGGAGGCAAGGAAGGAGAGGAAGGAGGGAGAGCTTGAGTGCCTCTGCTTAACCTTGGGATTGCCGGGTTGACCCGCGCGCCACAACGAATGAGAAGGCGGGCGACTTGTGAGTGAAGATGAGCGAAGGGGCGTCTGCAAGCAGAAAAAGCTCTGCTAGCTGGAGGGGGTTGCGGTGGGGGGGAAGGGGGCAAGGAAGGAGAGGAAGGAGGCAAGGAAGGAGAGGAAGGAGGCAAGGAAGGAGAGGAAGGAGGCAAGGAAGGAGAGGAAGGAGGCAAGGAAGGAGAGGAAGGAGGGAGAGCTTGAGTGCCTCTGCTTAACCTTGGGATTGCCGGGTTGACCCGCGCGCCACAACGAAGGAGACGGCGGGCGACTTGTGCGTGAAAATGAGTGAAGGGGCGTCTGCAAGCAGGAATAGCTCTGCTAGCTGCGAGGAGTTAGAGGGGTGGGGGGGAAGGGGGCAAGGAACGGGAGGGGAGGGAAAGCTTGAGTACTCCTGCTCCTCCCCGCAGTGCCTTTTGAGTCAACTCAAAAGTCAACGGGAGGGGAGGGAAATCTTGAGTTTTCCTGCTCCTTCCCTGCAGTGCTCCACCCGCCATGCAGCGGAGTAGGGCAGACGGGGGGCGCGGTTGGGGTGGACAGAAGAGAGAGAAGCCTAGAGGGTAGGCGCTTACCAGTCTTTGGTTGCAAGCTGTGGCGATATCTGCACTCCCTCTGTCCCCACAGTGCTCTGCCTGCCATGCAGCGGGGCAGACGGGGGGCGCGGTTGGGGTGGACAGAAGCCTGGAGGCAGGCGCTTACCAGTCGTTGGTAGCAAGGTGTGGCAATGTCCGCACTCCCTCCTTCCCTGCATTGCCCCCCCCGCCATGCAGCAGCGGGGGGCGCGGTTAAGGTGGAATGGAGGAAGGGCCTTACCAGTCGTTGGTAGCAAGCTGTGGCAATGTCCGCACTCCCTGCCCCTCCGTCCCCACAGTGCTCCACCCGCCATGCAGCAGTGTGGGGCAGCAGGGGGGCGCGGTTGGGGTGGAAGGCGGAGGCGACGGAGCGGGCGGGCAGGGGAGGGGAGGCGGCGGCTAGAGTGAAATCGAGAGAAGGGTGGCGGAGGAAGAGGGAGGTGAGATTGCGGATGAGGCACGTGGGGAGGAGCTTGGCGTTGGGGCATGATGCAGCAGCAGCAGTGGCTCCTGAAACCTTGGGGTCCTGAAGTGAGGAATACGAGAGGAAACGGAGGGGAAAGAGGGAAGGGAGCGGAGAAGGAGGAAGGGAGGCACGTGGGGAGGAGCTTGGCATTGGGGCATGATGCGGCAGCACCCGTGGCTCCAGATTGTTTGGGGTCCTGATGGGGCCGGGCAGGGGAGGGGGGTGCAGGGGAGGGGGGGGCAGGGGAGGGGGGGCAGGGGAGGGGGGGGCAGGGGAGGGAGGGCAGGGGAGGGGGGTGCAGGGGAGGGGGGGCAGGGGAGGGGGGGGCAGGGGAGGGAGGGCAGGGGAGGGAGGGCAGGAGAGGGGGGGGCAGGGGAGGGAGGGCAGGGGAGGGAGGGGCAGGGGAGGGAGGGCAGGGGAGGGAGGGCAGGGGAGGGGGGGGCAGGGGAGGGAGGGCAGGGGAGGGAGGGCAGGGGAGGGAGGGCAGGGGAGGGAGGGCAGGGGAGGGAGGGCAGGGGAGGGAGGGCAGGGGAGGGGGGGCAGGGGAGGGAGGGCAGGGGAGGGAGGGCAGGGGAGGGGGGGCAGGGGAGGGAGGGCAGGGGAGGGAGGGCAGGGGAGGGAGGGCAGGGGAGGGAGGGCAGGGGAGGGGAGGCGGCTGCGAGAGTGAAGTCGAGGGCGGGGTGGCGGAGGAAGAGGGGGGTGAGATTGCGGATGAGGCACGTGGGGAGGAGCTTGGCGTTGGGGCAGGGAGGGGCGGAGGCGGCTCCAGAAGTCTTGGGGTCCTGATGGGAAGTGTATGGGGGCCCGGGAAGTGGGAGGGAGATAGGAGTCGGAGCACGAAGGGGGCGGTGAGGTTGACTTTTGAGTCGACTCAAAAGTCAGAAGTCTTGGGGTCCTGATGGGGAGTGTATGGGGGCCCGGGAAGTGGGAGGGAGATAGGAGAGGGAGCAGGGAGGAAGAGGGTAGTGAGATTGCAGATGAGGCAGCAGCGGTGGCTCCAGAAGTCTTGGGGTCCTGATGGGGGGGGGGGTTTGTGTGGGAGGAGGATGTAAGTCAGATGGGGGAAGGGTGGAGGAGGAAGACGGAGATTGTGGATGAGGCATGTGGGGGGGGGATTCTCACTCGACCCACATACTCCCCACCTTTGAGGTGCCTCAAAAATCGATGAGGTGCCTCCAAAATGGCTGAGGTGCCCCAAAAATGGTTGAGGTGCCCCAAAAATCATGTGGAGAGATTCTCACTCGACCCACATCCTCCCCATCCTCTATCCTCACCATGCGCTGTCATTTCCCCCTTGTACCACCATCCATTCCCCTCCTTGTACCACCATCCATTCCCCTCCTTGTACCACCATCCATTCCCCTCCTTGTACCACCATCCATTCCCCTCCTTGTACCACCATCCATTCCCCTCCTTGTACCACCATCCATTCCCCTCCTTGTACCACCATCCATTCCCCTCCTTGTACCACCATCCATACCATGCCCGACCATCAACACCATTTCCCTCCATGCCCCACCACCCCCCCATGCCCTACCCCTCCGTCACCTCCAGCAGCACTCCCGTTGTGGCCCTCACTCGCCCCACATCCTCCCCATCCACCATCCCCTGCACCGCTGCTGACGGCTGCAGCGCCTCTGTGTGTGTGTGTGTGTGTGTGTGTGTGTGTGTGTGTGTGTGTGTGTGTGTGCGCGCGCGTGTGTGTGTGCGTGTGTATGTGTGCGTGTGTGTGTGTGTGTGCGCGCGCGCGTGTGTGTATATGTGTGTGTGTGCGCGTGCACGCCATACCACGTGCCACCATTCCCCCATGCCCTAACCCTTCACTCACCTCCAGCAGCACTCCCGTTGTGGCCCTCACTCGCCCCACATCCTCCCCATCCACCATCCCCTGCACTGCTGCTGCCGGCTGCAGCAGCTGCGTGTGCTTGTGCCATACCACGTGCCACCATTCTCCTCCCTCACCCCCACCCCAGCAGACTCACCTCCAGCAGCACTCCCGTTGTGGCCCTCACTCGCCCCACATCCTCTCCATCCACCATCGCTTGCACTGCTGCTGACGGCTGCAGCGACTGATAGCACCTCATGGTCTCGTCATACAGCCGGCATGGGCCGGTGGATGCCTGGAGGGAGGAAAGGGGAGACACGCACACACACATAGTAGAGTATAAAGGGATGGTTGCTGCCGGCTGCAGCGCCGGCATGGGCCGGTGGATGCCTGGAGGGAGGAAAGGGGAGACACGCACACACACAGAGTAGAGTATAAAGGGATGGTTGCTGCCGGCTGCAGCGCCGGCATGGGCCGGTGGATGCCTGGAGGGAGAGAGGGTGGGGAGAGGAAGGAGAGAGGGCGAAGGGGAGAGAGGGCGAAGGGGATAGAGGGGAGCTTAGTGGTTCTGCTGTAGCGACTGATAGCACCTCATGGTCTCGTTATACAGCCGGCAAGGGCCGGTGAATGCCTGGAGGGAGAGAGGGATGGAGGGACAGTGGGACAGAGGGAGGTGGGATTGGTTGGAGTGTAAGGGCACTGCTGCTGATGGCTGCAGCGACTGATAGCACCTCATGGTCTCGTCGTACAACCGACATGGGCCAGTGGATGCCTGGAGGGAGAGAGGGTGGGGAGAGGAAGGAGAGAGGAACGCACAGAGGGCACTGCTGCTGATGGGTGCAGCGACAGATAGCACCTCATGGTCTCGTCGTACAGCCATGCCTTGGGAAGAGGGAGGGATAGAGGGAGGAGCGGGAGAGAGAAAGAGAGGGACGCACAGAGGAATACAGGGAAGTGGGATAGAGTAGATAGAAGGGGACAGAGACCTAGGTATGGAACATAGATCTCAAGTAGGTGTATCTTTGAGTCGACTCAAAAAAAGACTCATCACAGACCTCAAAGATAGAGACACGTCACAGACCTCAAAGATAGAGACACGTCACAGACCTTTGTATGAGACATAGATCGCAGGTACCACTTTTGAGTCGACTCAAGAAAAACTTTTGAGTCGACTCAAAAAAAGTATTTGAGTCGACTCAAAGATAGACTCATCACAGACCTATGTACGAGACATAGATCGCAGGTACCACTGACCATGGCACGGGCAAGAGAGCAGGGGGCATAGACCTCCATGAGCAGCATCAGAGGGCTCCACTCGTCCTGCTTTCGAGTCGACTCAAAGGCCTCCTCCTGCTTTTGAGTCGACTAAAGAGAAATCATGCCTCTGCTACTCACCATGGCACGGCACAGGCGAGAGAGCGCGGGACATAGACCTCCATGAGCAGCATCAGAGGGCTCCACTCGTCCTGCTTTCGAGTCGACTCAAAGGCCTCCTCCTGCTTTTGAGTCGACTAAAGAGAAATCATGCCTCTGCTACTCACCATGGCACGGCACAGGCGAGAGAGCGCGGGACATAGACCTCCATGAGCAGCATCAGAGGGCTCCACTCCTCCTGCTTTCGAGTCGACTCAAAGGCCTCCTCCTGCTTTTGAGTCGACTAAAGAGAAATCATGCCTCTGCTACTCACCATGGCACGGCACAGGCGAGAGAGCGCGGGACATAGACCTCCATGAGCAGCATCAGAGGGCTCCACTCCTCCTGCTCCTGCTCCTGCTCCTGCTCCTGCTCCTCCTCCTCCTTATGCAACAGCCACTCACGCTACTACTTACTCACCATGGCACGGGCAAGAGAGCGGGGCACATAGACCTCCATGGGCAGCATCAGAGGGCTCCATTCCTCCTCCTCCCTCTCCCCACACTTGCGCTTCACCTGCCAAGCCCAATAGCAGCATGCCACGTCACCATGTTACACGCCAGCGCAAGCGACACATGAATGCAGCCAACACATCAATGCATGATGCTGCTACAGTGAAAAGAAACACAAACTCTTCACACATACACACCGATGAGTTGTTACACAATCTCTCGATGCTTAAAGCCACTCAGCTCAAACTCTCCACACATACGGAATTGAAAAGTCGTCTCCATGCCAAGTGCAGCTCAAAGCAGCTCGGAACAAACCAAGCTCACCGGTGCAATACCAAAGTCTTCCGTCCCATCTCCCTGCTGCACCTGCAATCGCTTCCCCTCTGCCACCACCCCTGCAGGCAGCGACACACGCACTGCCACCCCCTGCGGCGGCACCAGCAGCGCCGAGAAGGGCACGGGCGGGGGGGTTTCTGTGGCTGTGGCCGCTTCGCGAGAGGCAGGAGGGGGTGTGTGCGGGCGCAGGTGCCACAGCACACCCACTGTGATGTTGTGGAGGGTGGATAGGGCGCTCGCCTGGCATAGACGTTGCAGGGCTAGAGGCAGCACGGACGTCTGTAAGTAGGGGGTTGGGATAAGAGGAAGACGGAAAAGGGAGGGTGTGTGGGCGCAGGTGCCACAGCACCCCCACGGTGATGTTGTGCAGGGTGGATAGGGCACTGGCTTGGCACAGGCGCTGCAGAGCCAAGGGGAGCACGGACGTCTGTAGGTAGATGGGGGGTTGAGGGGAGAGAAAGGCGGGATAGGGAGGGTGGGCGGGCGCAGGTGCCACAGTGATGTTGCAGCACACCCATGGTGATGTTGCAGCACACCCATGGTGATGTTGCAGCACACCCATGGTGATGTTGCAGCACACCCATGGTGATGTTGCAGCACACCCATGGTGATGTTGTGCAGGATGGATAGGGCGCTGGCCTGGCATAGCCGTTGCACGGACGTCTGTAGGGCAGGGGGTTGGGGCGTGGGGAGGAGGAAAGAGCGGAGGGAGAGAGAGGAGGGGTGTTGTGCAGGGTGGATAGGGCACTGGCCTGGCACGGACGTCTGTAGGTAGGCAGAGGGTTTCGGGGAGAAAAATGCGGAAAGGGGAAAGTGAGTGTGCACACGCGTAGGTGCCACAGGATACGGGTAGAGGGATGTTGTGCCGGGTGGATAGGGCGCTGGCCTGGCACAGATGCTGCAGGGGTAGAGGGAGCACGGACGTCTGTAGGGCAGAAGGTTGGGGAGAGAGAATGGGAGCGTGGGGTTACTGGGGAGGGGGCAGCACACACACACACACACACACATGCGCGCGCGCGCGCACACACACACACACACGCTTTGAACTTGCGTGCACGCACCCGCACACACGTATTTGATCAACTCACACCTTGATATGAACGATGGCCTGCACACCATCCCAGCTTGTCTCCTCTTCTGCCGAGGTTGCTTCTGCTGCGTCTGCAGCACCTGCTGCTGTTTCTTCTCCGCCTGTTGCTGTTGCTGTTTCTCCTGCTGCTGCTGTTTCTCCTCCTGTTGCTGCCTCTCCTCCTGTTGCTGCCTCTCCTCCTGTTGCTGCCTCTCCTCCTGTTGCTGTTTCTCCTCCTGTTGCTGTTTCTCCTCCTGTTGCCAATTCTCCGGCTGTTTCTGCTTCACCCCCTGCTGCTTGTTCTCCTCCTGTTGCTGTTTCCCCCCCTGCTCCTGCTTCTCCTGCTGTTACTGATTCTCCTGTTGCTGCTACAGCCGCAGTGTCACCGACAGGAGCTGCTGCTGCTGGCTGCAGGGGATGCGGCGAAGTAGGTTGTGCGATGAGCACGGCTACAGCCGAAGCCTCTGACGGCTGTTGACTGTCACTGACGGCTACAGCCGAAGCCCCTGACGGGTGTTGACTGTTTCCGTTACTCCCTCCTGCATTTGCTCTGCCACTGGCGCCCCCCTCGGCCCCGCTACTGCTACCGCCGCTGCTATTGCCGGTGCTGCTGTTGCTGCTCCTGCCGGTGATACTGCTTCCGCTTGAGGTATTACTAGTAGTATCGTTTCTGCTGCTGCTCGTAACACCGACTTGCGCATTGCTGCTATTACCGAAGCTGCTACTAACGGAGCCTGCGTCCACGACGGCGTTTGCTGACGCACCGGATTGCCTCGATCCTAACAGTAACGGGCCCCGGGAAAGGTCTTGCGGGAGAAAAGCAGTATGAGCGTTACCACCAGTAAGAGTGTTACTGCTTGTAACAGTGTTACCCGTCGTCGGCAGTGGTTCTGTATCGATGGTGGTGAGAGTGGGTTCTTGGTGAAGCGGCGGTGGAAGGGAGAGTACGAGCGCTAAGCTGACAGCAGACATAAGTATGCTGACGCACGTGAGCAGCAGAACGATCGAGTGGCTGTGTAGCAGCGACGCGAAGCCTCCGCCGCCGCCGCCGCCGCCGGCAAAGGATGCGGCGGAGGAGCCGCTGCCGCCGAACAGGGGCTTGTCTCGTAACGAGTCTTTGCAGGACGATATGCAGCCCCTTAAACCGTCTACGACGGCGTGAAAGTGAGATTCCACTGCCTGCCAGTGCGGAACTTGCAGTTGAGACACCATCGCCGGATTGAAAAGGCTTGGAGTTTGAGTAAACTGCCACTGCGTTGCCGCCATGGCTCCAGATTGCGGTATTGACGCGACTTTTGCCGGCCGCGCCGGTTTTATCGAATCCAACACGCAGTCGTGACTATCCTTTGACGAGTCTTCCAATAATCTTCGATGGACCGTGCTGCTGGTACAGTCGCCGCCGGCGGTAACAGCGCCGTGATCGTTGGCGCCGCATGTTGCGGCGTCATTCGCGCGGTGCTCATGGTTGACCGAGGGAGCAACGCCCAAGGTAGGACGATCTTGACAACACGGGTTTTTGCGATTCTGACAGCTCATTGTGCGGCTTTGACAACACTGACCATCACCGTCACCGCCGTGATCGCCGCTGCCTCAAAAGCACGCGGTCTACGCTAAGTCTACGATTAGAGTCCGAGTCGCGTCTGTGATAAAACCCCAAGGTACGCGTCGCAGCACGTTGATCGTGGTGAAAAGTGGATCAGGTAGGACAATCTCTCACCAAAGGGACTCGGAAGAAACGTGATGTAATTCTTCCAGCGTTAGTCAAAATATTGAGTCAGGCGTTGCACGATTTCTGTCATTCGTTTCAGAAAAATGGCCTCGTTCCTTGCTCTCTGGCGCTGTGCAAAGGCCGGCCATACTTCGTCGTTTCAAATCGATTTAACGCGGCTGAAAACATTCAACTACGTTTGAAAGCGGTTTTAGAACACCGCTTTCAACCATCTCGCACCAGAAGGAACCTTCCAAAGTCTAAGTGAAAACGAATACAACCACTTCATCGAAATTCCAACCTAATTCACTCCCTATCCAAAACCGGCTTCTGGAACCTGAGAATGACTCGTGTGCGTGTGAACTAGAGAGCGCTAAGAAGAAACGCGGAGCTTCGGGTCATGATTCATGAAACACTTCCCGGAATTTTCCCGGGCCGCGCATCATCTGGAGAAACGTACAGGATCGTGTCTCGCACAGTTTCAAGTGACACGAAGGATAGGAATTTCGAAATACATCTCAAGAACCATCTTGACTCTGCCCCGCCGCAATCCATACAGAGCAGAGCAGAGTAGACACGACACGTCACACGACTTGACACCACGACGAACCACCACCAGGTCGCACCGGGACAGCCAGTCCCTCACTCCCTCCCTCCCACCGACGGTCCCATCCCATCCCACCCACCCACCACCATCCCCGCCCCACCCCACAAAAACCCCAACAACCAGAACAGTATTGCTGGGTTTCTTTGTTACGGTGGAATGAGATTCTGTGCATGTTAGAGAGGTTTGTTCACAGTTCTTTGCGTTTGGGTGGGGTTTTTAGCGAAATTGACCTCCATATGATGACACGCGCTAGGGCAACGACAAGAAAGCAAAAGCTCAACCGGCCCAAATCCTGAGAAGCATTTTGATTTAACAATTAGCTGTAGTACCAATAGCAGACATTCTCATCTCATTCTCGACAATCCGAGGAAGCTCGTAGCGGTGACGAGAGCAAGGTACAGTAATGCAGCTCCCAAGAGAATCTCCTGTCCTGTTAGTGTACTGACATTCATGAAGGCATGCAGCCGCAGTCGACTAAATCAGCAGCAGACGCAAACAGGTAACATTTCGAGGATTACTAGGCTCCTCTTGGCAGTCTTCATAGGCACACTGTCTTCGAGGATTTCGAGTGTCCATCACCACGCTCTGTTACATTCGTGAGCATGATGCGGAAGAGTAGCAATGCCTGGAATATCGCTCCGCAGGGAAGCTTCCTAGTCATCCTCTCCGTGCTTCCCTGGTTGTACGTCGCTTTTGACTTCATCGGAAACTGCCGCCATGGCCCATCCGCGGAGCAAGAGGTCTGAACTTAGGTCGAGATCATGAGAACTCGTGCATTTTCAGTACGTCTCTTCCGGGTAGCACGCCTTCGTGCTACATATATCCACGACGCTGTCTGTTTTCAAGCTTTTTGCTACAGTCCTTGCGAATCTGGACTGTCAAAACAATAGGTGTGTTCGCATTGATGCCGCATTGTGCAATCTTCAGATGTGAGCATCGCTAGTAGTGTCGCTTGCGAACGTCCATGAGACTCCTACAACTACCTGTAAGATCCCGTTTGAACTGTCCACCCGCTTCCTCCTGCAGATGTACCTATCCCGGCTACAGCCCATCACTCCCTTCCAACAAATCCTCGACAATGTCACATCCGATAAACGCGCGAGCCACTACGGCGCGTTCTACAGCCTGTATCTCGACCCCTTACGCCGACCGCAACTAACCCGTGGTGACGATCGGATCCCGGTCTGGGAAAACCAGGAGGTTAACTTGCTGACAGTCGGTCGTGCGTACGGCGACTCGCTGCAGCTGTGGGAGCGGGCATTCCCGAGGGGTGTTATCTACGGCATTGCAAATGACACCACCTCCTCCTTGATGGTACGTCCACTGTGACTTTTGAGTCGACCCAAATGTCACCACGGGCATTCCCGTGCCAAGGATAGTTACTTTTAGTGATTGTAAAATGTCGTGTGTGCATCGTTTACGTACCTGTCACTTTGCGAGCTCGGGTGCTCCTTATTTCATCGGTGGTGAGAATGTGACTAAGCTGCAGCTACATAGTGCTGGTGCTGGCTGGGTTGGGTTTCATTCGTTGGTAGTCATAAGTGCTGGGCAGCGCAAGCAATGGAAGGCCACTCTTTCTTTTGTTTTCTTGGTGGCTGTTCGTTTGCACAATTTTTTTATTTCTTGCCTTTTTTCTTTCTTTGGTTCCTGAAAGTTCTCGTTTGGAACCCTTGTTTGTGTGACCCCAGCTCCAGGCAGCGGCGAGGGACCCGCGGGTGCGGCTGATGGTGGGCGACCAGGCGAATGGGAATTTCTTGCAGAAAGCCGTTTCTGATATTAAGAATGAGGTGAGGAGTGGTAGCGACGTGGGATGGTACAGCGTGGTTCAGGGTGAGGTGGGGTACTCATGAGTGTGTTTTTGGAAATGAGGTGTTTTTTACTGTGTGCCATGCATGAATTTTCGACAGTGTCTTGCAATGCCAGCTCTGTATAAACTTGATTACTGCTGGTCTTCTAAAATGTCCTTGCTTTAATTCCTGTTATGATCAGTGTTTTTGTAACGTCGACATCCTTATTGTTGTTGTATAACCTCCTTTCTTGTTATTGTGTTGTGACTCGTTTCAGATGGGCCTTCTTGACTTCATAGTGGACGATGGTAGTCACACCATCGATCAGCAACAGACATCCCTCAAACACCTCCTTCCGCTTGTCAAGGTACTGCTGCCTCTGGTCAAGGTACCTGTTGCTGCTGACACTGCTTTTCCCTCCATCCCTTCATGTCAACGCCCTCTGTCCATACTGTTATGATCCTGCTTACAATATTGCTGCCTTTCTTTTCTTACTCTCTTTTCTCTCCTCCTCCTTTCCTCCGCTCCTGCCTTCGATCCCTGATACACCCACCACCAATCTTGCTGTTCCAGCCTGGTGGAACCTACTTCATTGAAAATGTGGAGAAGTCTTATACGGAAGGCATTCCTGAAGGGGACACCACTATGCACGTTATGCAGTCGCTCTTAGACGCGATGAACAAGGAGTTTTTTGAGAAGCAGGTGTATTTCAAGAACATGGCGCCTGGGAAGTTCTATGCAACTCCGGTGGAGAAATTAGTGGGGTCTGTGCACTGCATGAGGAACATGTGTGCACTTCGCCGGAAGACTAGCCACTGGTATTAGCAACACCAACTAGAATGTGCTTGGTTAGAGTAGGAAACATATTTCTGCTTCTCATTTTCTCCCAATATCGGCTTGCAGAGTATAGGAAAAACACTGGAACATCAAGAATCAAGGAGCCGTTTGGTATTCTTCAGGCACATTTGATGTCCTGAGGTCTCGAAGTGTTCTGCACACCAGTGCCTATTGCGCTGTCGGGGTTTTATCGAGGACAAATCTGGCACAGTCGCTGGTTCTGTACATAACACAGTGCATACAGTGCCTCTAGGGGAGCCCCTTGATTCTGAACAAACTTTTTCCAGTCACGCGCTCACTCACACATACCCACACACCCTTGAAATTCCGTCATTCTGTCGAAAGCAGACGTACTTGGTCCACGCTCCTAGGAGTACGGTATGTGACGGCTCGGAGTGGGTGCAACGTAGAACCATTCTCAACGGATTCAGACAGCGCGTCATTCATAGTCCTGTGTGCGCAATAGGCGGGAATCCCGCAGTCTGATACATTCACGAACGAGGTCGCAAACCCCAGCTGCAGCAGTAGGCCGCGGTCGGGAGGATGGGGAAGGGTGTCGACTGGAAATCTGCTATGCCGCAAAGAGGCGTCCTGTTCGTTGTCTACCTCCTCCCGTGGGCGTATATCGCGTATAAGCTTATCCAGAACTGCCGCGACACATCAGAGGTAGCAATGTGATACACCAGTCGTACTGACGATCCGTTATAAGTATCGTTCGTGAGCAGAGCTTCAATACTGCGTCACTAACAGACTGCTAATACTATTTTTGTGCAGTCCGGCCTTAACCAGCGCGGCGATAACTCAAATGTACCTGAGGGTCTCTCGATTATTCTTCTTTAGGCTCCTAAAAAACCCCATCAATCCTTTCGAAGCGCCTCAAGAAATACGGCGTTAACTCCGTTGTACCTTTGGATCTCTCAATGTCTCATGTAGTCGCAGCCAATCTACATGCTCCCACTGGTCCCTAGTAGCAGTAATACTAGTCTGCGTTCCTAGTTAATCCTTCCTCCTTCACCCTGGTTCTTTCCACACAATTCTTTAATCATCATTCTTTATTCATGTTACAAAACGTGTCTCCTTTCCCTGAAATTCACGCGTTTCCCTGGCAGGCCGGCTTCATCTCGTTTGAAGCGATCGTCAACCAAGGCACGTCCGATTCTGAGATGTCTTATAACCACCCTTCGTTCCCGTGTCGTTTCCCTGGCAGGCCGGCTTCATCTCGTTCGAGGCGATCGTCAACCAAGGCACGTCCGATAAGCGCACGCATCACTACGGCGCATTCTACAGCCTTTATCTCGACCCGCTGCGCCTGCCGCTGCAGCCCCAAACCCCCGGCGACTGCCAGCAGCCCCAAGCAGGCGAAGAGGACCGCTCTCAATACACACAGGACGCACAGGACTCGCCGCAGCAGCCGTGGGAGCCGCGCGCGGTGAACATGCTGGAGATCGGGCTCAAATACGGCGACTCGCTCAAGCTGTGGAAGCGGGCGTTCCCGAGGGGCAGGATATATGGCATTGACAATGAGATGATTTCCAAGGTAAGCACCGGGGTTCCCAGGGTAAGTTTGAGGGTTTTGAGGTTCGCGCAGTGAACATGCTGGAGATCGGGCTCAAATACGGCGACTCGCTCAAGCTCTGGAAGCGGGCGTTTCCGAGAGGCAGGATCTACGGGATTGACAACGAGATGATCTCCAAGGTAAGCCCGAGGGTCCCAAGATAGGCAAGCCCGGGGATCTGCGAAGGTCCCATCTGAGGGTCCCGTCTGACTGAGGGTCGCGAGGTGAGCATTCTGGAAGAGGGCGTTTCCAAAAGGCACGATTTATGGCATCGACAATGAGATGACCTCCAAAGGTAAGCCCGAGGGAGATAAGCCCGAGGCGAGGGTCCTGAGTAGAAGTGAGAGGTTCCCGAAGTGAGCATGCTGGAAGAGAGCGATTCACAAAGGCAGGATTTATGGCTTTTGAGACGTCTCAAAAGGATTTATGGCTTTTGAGACGTCACAAAGGCAGGACCTATGGCATTGACAACGAGATGATTTGCAAGGTAAGCCCGAGGTTCCCAAGGTAGGTAAGCCCGAGAATCCCGGAGGTCCCATCTGAAGGTAGGCATGTCCGAGGGCCTTAAGGTAAGCTGCGCGTTGAGGTATGAGTGAACTTGCAAGATCTCTAAGGTAAGCCGAGAGGCAGGATTTATGCCATGTCTCATGGCTTCCTGCCCCTCACCTTCCCCACCAAACCCCACCCTCCCTCCCCCCATCACCCCCTCCCTCCCCCCCCCCCCCCCCCCCCCCTCCATATCTTAACGATCTCAAGCCTCTCTCCTCGCCACTGTCCCGGTTTGTCTCATCCCCGCCCCTCCTTTTCTCTTGCCTGTCCCACACCCAACCCCAGTCCTCCCCGCCTCTCATCTCCTCAGAAGCACCAGGCGGAGGCGCGGGACCTTTGGGTGCGGCTGAGGGTCTTCCTTCCCCCTCCTTTGCCCGGTCCCTGTTCTTGACTCACTCAATCTCCCCCCCTCTCATGATCTCGTCTCCGCAGAAGCACCAGGTGAAGGCGAGGGACCCACGGGTGCAGCTGATGGTGTTTCTTTCCTGCCTCCCCGCCATGTTCAGCCCATGCCCATGCCCCATCCTCTTTGCCTCTCATGGCTGCAGAAGCACCAGGCGGCTGATGGCTTCCCTTGGCCGCTCCTTTGCGCCATCCCTGTTCCTGACTTGTGTCCCTCCCCTTTCCACTCCGCAGAAGCACCAGGCGGAGGCGCGGGACCCGCGGGTGCGGCTGATGGTTTCTCCTCCCCACCTCCTTTGGCCCGCCCCCGCCCCACGCCTATTTCCCATCCCGTTCACCACTCGCAGAAGCACCAGGCAGAGGCGAGGGACCCGCGGGTGCGGCTGATGGTGGGCGACCAGGCGAATGGGACGTTCCTGGAGCAAGTGGTGGCCGAGATAAAGAGTGCGGTGAGGAGTGGTGGCCGAGATAAAGAGTGCGGTGAGGAGTGGTGGCTGAGATCAAGAGTGCGGTGAGGAGTGGTGGCAGAGATAAAGAGTGTGGTGAGGAGTGGTGGCTGATATGAAGAGTGTGGTGAGGATTGGTGGCTGAGATATATAGTGCGGTGAGGAGTGGTGGCTGGGGTGAAGAGTGCTGTGAGGAGTGGTGGCTGGGGATAAAGCGTTCAGTGATGCCTGATGCGGTAAGACGATGTTGAGTGTGATGTGGTGTGGTGTTGCATGGCGAGGGTTGGGGTTAAACTAGAGGTGGGATGGGATGGGATCACTTGGGTTGGGAGGGGAGGGGAAGAGAGGGGATGGGACGGTATGGGATGGGATGTGTTGGGCTGTGTGGGTGGGATGGGATGGGATGGGATGGGATGGGATGGGATGGGATGGGATGGGATGGGATGGGATGGGATGGGATGGGATGGGATGGATGGGATGGGATGGGATGGGATGGGATGGGATGGGATGGGATGGGATGGGATGGGATGGGATGGGATGGGATGGGATGGGATGGGATGGGATGGGATGGGAGGGGAGGGGAGGGGAGGGATGGGATGGGATGGGATGGGATGGGATGGGATGGGATGGGATGGGATGGGATGGGATGGGATGGGATGGGATGGGATGGGATGGGATGGGTTGGGAGGGGAGGGGAGGGGATGGGTTGGGATGGGGTGGGATGGGATGGGATGGGATGGGATGGGTTGGGATGGGATGGGATGGGATGGGATGGGATGGGATGGGATGGGATGGGATGGGATGGGATGGGATGGGATGGGATGGGATGGGATGGGATGGGATGCTATGGGATGGGATGGGATGGGATGGGATGGGATGGGATGGGATGGGATGGGATGGGATGGGATGGGATGGGATGGGATGGGATGGGATGGGATGGGAGGGAATGGGTTGGGATGGGATGGGGTGAAATGATGGGATAAGCCATATGTGTGTGCTGGTGGAAAATTGTGTGATACTTCTATGTAAGTCAGATTCACGCAGATATAATGAAGCAGTGGCATAGGAAGGAGTCTATTTGAATGGCAGTGGAAGGGCATGGAATGAATGGCTGTGGAATGGCATGCGTTTGAATGACAGTGGAATGGCATGCGTTTGAATGGCAGTGGAATGGCTTGCGTTTGAATGGCAGTGGAATGGCATGCGTTTGAATGGCAGTGGAATGGCATGCGTTTGAATGGCAGTGGAATGGCATGCGTTTGAATGGCAGTGGAATGGCATGCGTTTGAATGGCAGTGGAATGGCATGCGTTTGAATGGCAGTGGAATGGCATGCGTTTGAATGGCAGTGGAGTGGCATGCGTTTGAATGGCAGTGGAATGGCATGCGTTTGAATGGCAGTGGAATGGCATGCGTTTGAAATACTATTTTTGAACTCTTTCTCTTACTTGGGCTGCCCCTGTCCTCGTTATTGTGTTGTGACTCTTTCCTTGTCATTGTATCAACTCCCTTCTTATTATTGTGTTGTGAATCGTTTCAGGTGGGTCTGCTTGACTTCATAGTGGACGATGGTGGTCACACCATGGATCAGCAACAGACATCCCTCAAACACCTCCTACCACTTGTCAAGGTATTTTGTGCCTCTAGTTTTAGGGTGACTTTTGAGTCGACTCCAAAATCCTTTTGCTGCTAATCAGGGCATTCCGTGCTTCTGGTTTTGGTTTATCTGGCTGTTAGTCAACACACTGCATACCACTCCTGTGTCGTACTTTGATTGCCCATCTTCAAGTTGCAACTTTGGTTCTCCTTCCTTCTCCTCCCCTCGTCCTCGTGTCTCTCTCACTTCTGAATTTCGCTCTTACTCCAGCCTTGCCTCCCCTGCAATCCCTCTCTCGTTCTTCTCCTCCTCCCTGTCTGCCCAACTTCCGCATGACTCCTCTCAGCCCTCCCCATTTTCTCCCGCTTCCCTCCGCCATCGCTCGTTTCCCCTCTTCCATCCGTCCTCCCACTCCCGCCACTGTCCTCCCCCCCCCCCCCCCCCCCCCCCCCACCCCCCCACGCTCCACCTTCTTGTTCTCTCATAAAGGCACGGTCTTTCTGGTTATAATAATTTCTGCGTTCCGTTCTAGCGGGTTAAAGAAGGCAAGCTTTGCTTCTTCCTAAAGGTCCCAGTCCCCCATTGTTTACCACTTCCCTCCCTCCTTCCGACTCTCCTACTCCCCCATTGTTTTTACCCAGCCTGGTGGAATTTATTTTATAGAGGATCTGGAGACGTCGTACTACACCAAATGCCACATTACAGGGTGCTACGAAGGCGGCCCCCCTGGTCTCAACACCACAACAATACACGTTCTCAAGATGCTTATGGTGGTAAACCGTGACTATATCGAGAAGCAGGCTTATATCAAGAAGTCCACAAGTGAGGAATTTTACACGACTCCTGTGGAGGATCTGGTGGGCACAGTACACTGCATGAGAAACATTTGTGCGCTTAGAAGGAAATCTAGTCCTTGGTATTAGCAGGAGCACAATCTCCTAGTATTGTGAGTTGACACTTCCATCTGGTTAGTTACAGAATCTGGATATGTATGTATGTAAACCAGTTTTGTACGAGTTTACAAATTACAACTGTGCTTGTTCACTATGCTGCGTGCTTGAGCAGCAAAATCATTAGAATACAGACCGGAGAGGAATTGTAGTAGAATGAGTACCCCGTATGCAATGCGCCAGGTCATCGTAACCCGAATTTCAAACTATTTAGAACCAGCGACTAGTTTTACGCCTAAGCGCACAGATATTGCGCATGCAGTGTACTGCCCCCACCAACTCTTCCACCGGAGTCGCATAAAACCCAGGACGTGTTACATTCCGGTAATAAACCTGCTTCTGAAAGAACTCCTTATTCATCACATCTATAAGCTCTTTCATTATGTGTATAGTTGTAGTGTTGAGTCCAGGAGGACCGCCCCTGTAACACCCTGTAACGTGGCATTTGGTGTAGTACGATGTCTCCACATCCTCTATAAAATACGTCCCTCCAGGCTGTTGAGATTCGAGAAAGGATGTGAGGCAAAGGGAGGTGGGGTAAACGTTGAGGGGACCGAGAAGGAAGTTCGAAAGGATGCGAGGCGAATGGAGGTGGGGAAGAGAAAGGCACCCAAAGGTTGCTTCAGCACCCTTGCTGCAGTACATCCCTCCATGATGGAAAAAGAATGTAAGGAAGTATGGAAGAATATTACTGTACAATGAAATAAAGGAAAGGCACTGCTAGAGTGAATGAGAGGGGGCCGGAGGAGAATTTATGGGGATGTATATTTATATATACACATGAATACTGCAGCGAGGGGAGAAAAGGGTAACAGTCGCCATTAAGCTTGATTACTCAATGTATTCTGCCAAGTTACCTTGACAAGGGGCAGGAGGTGTTTGAGGGATGTCTGTTGCTGATCCATGGTGTGACCACCATCGTCCACTATGAAGTCAAGCAGACCCACCTGACACGAGCCGATACGACAATAAGAAACGAGACAATGCATTAACAAGAAAAGGGCTACAACACCATATGAGGACAAGGGTAGCCAAGAAAAGGAGAGTGACAGTTTTTTCAGGGCACCCACGTGAAGCACATGCACACCATGCCACGCGTACCATGATTTACACACCATGCCAAGCACAGCATGCCTGCACCATGCCCTGCAATTTCATTCAACATACTCATCAGCGCCATCTCCACCACCCCACGATATGCAAATGCATCCCGTTGCCTACCATGCCACCATGCCATGCACACCATACATGTTCAAATCAACATACCCGTCAGTGCCATCTCCACCAAACCATGATACGCAAATTCATCCTGTTTCCTACCATGTCACCATGCCATGCACACCATGCCATGCACACCATACATTTTCTAATCTCACCGTTCTACCACACCAACACCTGCATGCTCTTTATCGCAGCCAACCATCCTCACCACTCCCTGTCTCAGAAACCCTCCTCACCGCACACTTTCCCCCAGCCATCACTCCTCACTGCACTCTTTATCTCAGCCACCACTACTCACCGCACTCTTTATCTCAGCCACCACTCCTCACCGCACTCTTTATATCAGCCACCACTCCTCACCGCACTCTTTATCTCAGCCACCACTCCTCACCGCACTCTTTATCTCAGCCACCACTCCTCACCGCACTCTTTATCTCAGCCACCACTCCTCACCGCACTCTTTATCTCAGCCACCACTCCTCACCGCACTCTTTATCTCAGCCACCAATCCTCACCGCACTCTTCATCTCAGCCACCAATCCTCACCGCACTCTTCATCTCAGCCACCACTCCTCACCGCACTCTTTATCTCAGCCACCACTCCTCACCGCACTCTTCATCTCAGCCACCACTCCTCACCGCACTCTTTATCTCAGCCACCACTTGCTCCAGGAACGTCCCATTCGCCTGGTCGCCCACCATCAGCCGCACCCGCGGGTCCCTTGCCTCCGCCTGGTGCTTCTGTGGGGATGAGAGGGAGGAGAGAGAAAGAAGTAATAATCACGGATGGGCCATAAGGAGGTGGGGAAGAGACCACCATCAGCTGCACCCGCGGGTCCCTCGCCTCTGCCTGGTGCTTCCGTGGAGATGCCGACATGGGGGATAGGCATGGAATAGGCATGGAATAGGCATGTGATGGGCATGAATGGGCATGGGATAAACACAGCCAGGAGGTGCGGAAGATACCCCATCAGCCACACCCGCGGGTCCGTGCCTCTGCCTGGTGCTTCTGAGGCCACGGGGGGCGTAGAGGATGGGGATGGGTGATAAGCATGGTCAGGAGGTGTGGAAGAGAAGCCACAGCCACACCTGCGGGTTCCGCGCCTCTGCCTGGTGCTTCTGCGGCGATGCGGACATAGGGGATAGGCATGGGATGGGCATGGGATGGGCATGGGATGGGCATGGGATGGGCATGGGATGGGCATGGGATCAACATGGCCAGAAGGTGAGGAAGAGGCCCCAACATGGTCAGGAGGTGGAGAACAGAAGCCATCAGCCGTACCTGGGGGTTCCGCGCCTCTGCCTGGTGCTTCTGAGGCAACAGAGAAGCGAAGAGGACAGGGGACGGACGTGGAAAATACAAGAAAATGGGCGGGGAAGGTAAGCCGCGCCCCTCCCTGGTGCTTCTGTCTGGGTTGAAAATCTTTGAAGGACACGGTGCCCTGTGTACAGCACATCATAAAACAGAATGCCAAACACTTGAGTCTGCTTTGTGTGTTTGAACTAGGACAGCGGTTATTGACATTTCAAAGTCTTTTGTGATTTCTTATTCAGAGACTCACCTTCGAAATGACTTCGTTGTCGACACCGTAGATCCTGCCTTTCGGGAACGCCCTCTTCCAGAGCTTCAGCGAGTCGCCGTATTTGAGCCCGATCTCCAGCATGTTCACCTCGGGAATCTCCCATGCGGACTGCTCTCGCTTCTGCCCGCGTAACCTTCTGATAGTTTTGGTATCAAGGGACTGTCGCGGCAGGCGCAGCGGGTCGAGATAGAGGCTGTAGAAGGCGCCGTAGTGATGCGTGCGCTTATCGGACGTGCCTTGGTTGACGATTTCCTCGAACGAGACGAAAGGCTGCAGGCGGGAGAAGCACAGAAAGGAAAACCGGTTTCGTTGGTTAAAGGAAAAAGGAAGAATAACTTTCTGAACACCCAGTGAAGCATTACGTACTCGAAATAACTCATCAATACCTCCTACGATAAGGATTCGGACAAGGAGAATACCTCTTGCACTGCAGGAGGGGCATCGCGGCAGTTTCCGAGAAGGTCAAGCGCGATGTACGCCCATGGAAGAATGTAAAGGAGGGTTAATACGCCTCCCCCCAAAGCTAGAATCCACACTCCAATCTTACCCATCTTCGGACGATCCTGCCGCGCACCTGTTCGCGTATTTCAATATACAAACACAAACCACAATCTGGAAAATGCGAATGGTGGATTCTTCCTCCATGAAGGAAACGATGATTTCTTTCAGTTATGCGAAAGGAGGCTGCTGGTTCCGTGCTCCTGACGTCGTTGTTCTGAAGCGACGAGGGACGGAAAGCGAATCCTGAAGTGCTGCTGACATCGTGTTGTTCAGTGACTTTGTGCTTGCGGTTGCGGCATGCGTGGGCTCCGAAGTGCTGCTGAAGCCATCCTCGACAAGATCGATTTGTTGGAATGCAGGTGTTTACCGGGATGATTGGAACAATACAGTTTAAGATAGGAAGTTCGCTTTGAACTGAACCTGAATTTTAACATCCGATATGTTCCCGTTTTTTGCAAATGCAATCAAGATGTTGAATATGATTTTACCTGTTACAACTCTGTCAGTGTATACAAGGGGTTTAGTATAACAGCGGCGAAAGGCCAATAACGGATACACAAGAATCTAGAATCTATGTTTTCGTGACAGATGATCCTGTTGATAGCATTTTTCAAACCAGCAGTGCAAGCTTCAACTGCCATGGCTGACGCCTCTCAACTAACCTTGTTCTACATCAAACGACTCTAGTTCGCTCGATCACGTCGACTGCTGCATCCCTCGCCGTTGCTTAATCTCGAGCCGCCTGCTTGTGGAGCGTCGTCCGCCATCTCTCCGTCTCGCCGTCAAAGTTATCGGCTTCCAAAACTTACACTTCGTTCTCTGCTTAACCGCTAATCTGCGAGCCTTCGACGTCAAATCAAAGCCGTAGCTTAAGCGCGACGGTCTTGTTGTTGGAGCCGCGTGATGGCTCGTAGTCAAGCACACGCACGGAGACCAAAATCAAGCATCGCGACTGCAGATGATTCGAAAGGCGTCGCGACGGCAGATGATTCGAAACGCGTCGCGACGGCAGATTCGAAAAGCGTCGCTGACGGCAAACTAGGCGATGCTTCCCGTGACGTCATCATCGCTCCACCGCTGAACAGATGGTCGCGGCGCGTCCGCGTGGGGATCTTCGCGGCGTGTGTCCTTACTCCCCTAATAGTGGCATTTCTCGTGATGGAGCTTGATCCGTTAGAGCGACGGTCCATTACAATCAATGCCGTTATGAGCGTCGCGGGATTCGTTATAACAACGAAGCTGATCCCGATGGCGGTGCCTTATATGTTTCGGAGAAACATGTTCGGATACGATATAAACAAGCGAGGTTCCCCGGCTGGAGAAATCAAGTTGTGAGTATAACGAAAGGCCGCCAACGAGGTGGGCGTCAGGTGTAGTCACAGCGCCATTTGTGTCGATACCGTACCTATGGTGAAGGGCGGGGGAGGAAAAAGTTGAGGGGGGATGGTTAAATGGGGGAAGAGGTGAGGAAGCGGTGAAAAGGGGGAATTCTGTACCTGTTGATTGCATCGTAATGTGATGTGACCTGTGTGCGCCATCAGGATATGGCGTCGCGCATTTTGTCAATATAAGGGGTAACTTGAGTGCAACTAACCTGGTAACTTGGTAACGTGTGCCTGATGGTGGCCATTGTGTACGTCGTGGGGGACTTGGTAGGTCACAAAGTGATGGTGGCTTCCCCTTGTCAGCCTTGCACTTCCCTTCCCCCCTGCGCAGCAGTGTGCTTCCCCACACTCCCTACGCAGACCCAAGGCTCGGGGACTGGTGGGGGCTCTCGTATACCTGGTGGGAGGCTGGGTGGGTAGGTAGCATGCTGACTTCCCTATGTCACCCGTGCATGCACCCCCATGCCCCCAATGCCTGCCATGCCATATGTTTCTCCCACACTTCCTATGCAGACCCGAGACGCAGGGACTGGTGGTGGCGCTCGTGTATCTGGTGGGAGACTGGGTGGGTAGGTGGGTAGCATTGTGACTTGCCCCCGATGCCCCCATGCCTCCATGCCCCCATCCCCCACCCCACACTCCCCAGACCCGAGACGCAGGGACTGGTGGTGGCGCTCGTGTACCTAGTGGTAACCATTCTCTTCCAACACTTCTACTTCACACCTGATTCGCCTGTGAGTGCCTCCCCAGGCCAATTTTCAGGTGTTTATTCAGGTACTCGTGCATGGTAATTGTTAGGTGATTGCTCGAGTGATTCCTCTTCCAACCCCTACCCTTCCGCCCCCTCCGCACCCCTAACCCACCTCCCCTTCCACTCCAACGCAGCCCTCGCGTGCATCTTCTACATGGCCTTTTTGGGCTTCATTCCTCTTCTCTCCCTGCTCCCTAACGCTCCTCTCCAGTGGCTGCTCGAGTACAACGCGGCTCTGGCATACATCTGCTACATGGCCTTCCTTGGATTCATAGACGATGTGCTTGACATCCCTTGCCTTCCTGTCCACCCATTCTCCCTCCTGCTCTTCCTGCCCCCTCCCTCCCTCCCCCTTGCCCTCCCTTCCCCTGCCAGTGGCTGCTCGAGTACAACGCGGCTCTGGCCTGCATCTGCTACATGGCCTTCCTGGGCTTTATTGACGATGTGCTCGACATCCCCTGGCGCGTGTGAGTGCTGGTGGGGGGGGGGGGGGGGGGGGTGTTGAGGGGTGGTGCTGAGGGATCGTGCTGGGGGGTGCTGCTGAGAGTTGGTGCGAGGGGGAGGGATGGGTCATATCAAGGGCAGGTTTGAGTCGATTTAGAGCGACGTGCAGATTTCCTTGCCCAAAGAACGAGCTCTGCTCGTGGTTTCCCCGCACCATGGTTGTCTCCCCCTTTTCCCCTCCCCCCCATTCTCCCTCACCCCTTTCCGCCCCAACCTCCCTCCCTTTTTCCTCCTCAGAAAGGTCGTTCTCCCCTCAATCGCCGCCCTGCCTCTCTTTCTATTCCGGCCACACCACCATTGTCATCCCCAAGCCCTGTGGTCGCTCTCACCCACCCAAGCCTTATGCTTGTCCCTCCCCTTTCCCCCTCCCCCCCTGCAGAAAGCTCATTCTCCCGTCGATCGCAGCACTGCCTCTCCTCATGGCCTATTCAGGCCACACCACCATCGTCATCCCCAAGCCGCTGCGGCCGCTGCTGGCAGGGCTGGCAGGCGATGAGGTGGCCGTGTGGGACCTGGGCGTGCTGTACAAGGTCTACATGGGCATGCTGGTCATCTCGTCTCCCCCCCTCCAAACCTCATGATGTTTCCCCCGCTTCCCACCCCTTCCCGCTGTGAAAGTTACGAGGAATGCAATCACTAGAAATGAGTTGGATACAAAAGGGAAACCTAGAAATGTTGTACTCCCTATTGTCTAACCCACTACAGCCTAAACAGACTATAACATAAGTTTGACACACCCCCATAGGCAAAGTGGGGGAGAACAAGGGGTCACACGACCAGTCAAGAAAAGCAAAGCAAGCTCAGGGTGGATCTCAAGGATACCACACAAATTCCGAGCACAAGCAAGCGGTCACAAGACCAGTTCACATGCAGTTAGATAATATAACAAGAGGTACAGTGATCACAACCTAGCAAGTGTAAGCATGCAGGTATATATATAGAGATCACAGTACAAAGCAAAGTCAAGAGGTAAGCAAGTGAGGCCAGGTAGGCACAAGACCTAACATAGTACAGAAGCGCTGATGATCACAAGGCTGAAGTGCCTTGGTAAAGATATCAGCAGTGTTGGCCTGAGAGGCCACGTAAGCAAGGCGCAGCTGACCACGCTGCTGCAGCTCACGTGCAAGGAAGTAGCGAAGAGCAATGTGCTTCGTTCTGTGCTCCAGTCTGTGCTCCTGACACAAGGCCAGCATGGCCTTGTTGTCTACGTACAGAACTGGAGGAGAACGAGGCGGCTCTCCCAGGTCGGTCAGCAGGTAGGTGAGCCAGCGTAACTCCTGTGCAGCCATGGCCCCTGCGTAGATCTCGGCCTCACAGCTGGAGCCGAGAACAGAAGACGAGCGGGTAGACCGCCACGAAACAGAGCCGGAACCAAGGCTGAAGGTGTAACCCTGTGACGACCGCTGAGTAGCCAGATCGTCAGCCCAAGAAGCGTCTGCGTGACCAGTGAGGACCACTGAACGTCGCCCTCCAAGCACGAGCCCCATGCCCGACGTACTGCACAAGTAGCGCAAGACCCTCTTAGCAGCATCCATGTGCTCCTTCCTGTGTCGGCCAGGAGCAACATAGCGTGCAAGGATGCTAAGAGGGTAGGCTAGGTCAGGTCGAGTGCAGGTCATCAGGTACATGAGGCAGCCCACAAGCTCTGGATACGGGCCACTCGGCTCTACGGACTCATCCGAAGGCAGAGCTGAGAGCGAGTGGCGCGTAGGCAGAGGAGTGGACTGTGGCGAGGAGTACGTGAAGCGGAAGCGCTGAAGGACCTGCTGCACCATGTGTGACTGAGTCAAGGTAATGGTGCGGTGTGCTCTGTCCCGGGTGATCCGCAAGCCAAGATAGCTTGTCAGTTCACCCAGGTCTGTGCACGTGTGTCTCTTCTACAGCTCCGACTTTACGTGGGCGAGTGCCTCAGTGTCAGTAGTAGCAAAAACCAGGTCGTCTACGTACACTAGAACGTAGAACGGCGGCAGAGTGGTGTCGGTGCGCAGAAACAGCGACGGGTCAGCAGTAGAAGGAGCAAACCCAAGAGCAGCAAGAGTCGTCCTCAGTGTGTCGTGCCACTCACGGGGTGCCTGGCGGAGACCGTAGACTGGCCGCCGGAGGCTCCACTGGGTACCAGGAGGAAACGACCCAGTGAATCCAGGCGGGCGGCGCAGCCAGATCTCCTCGTGCAGGCTGCCCTGTAGGAAAGCAGTGCTGAAGTCAAGAGAGTGGAGCTCGTAGTCACGCTAAGCGGCGACGTGCAGCAGAGCCCGAAGAGTAGTCATCTTCGGGGTAGGGGAGAAGGTCTGGAAGAAGTCAACTCCCTCACGCTGACTGAAGCCTCGTGCAACGTAACGCGCCTTGAAGACAGGCGGAGAACCCGGCGGCCGCTTCACCCTGAAAATCCACATGCCACTGACGATGTTCGCCCCAGGCGGGGGAACCTCGTCTACGTAGGTGCCTGTGGACTTCCAGGAAGCCATCTCTGCGTCCATGGCTGTCTGCCACTGAGAGGAGTAGGGACCCTTTATCTCCTCTGCGTAAGAGCACGGGGTCGGGATGTCTGGTGCATCCGGGTCTCCCTCAGGGGCAATCAGCATGGACACGAGATGAGGTAAAGCAGCGGAAAAGCACTCAAACTCCTCCTGCCTGTCCTCAAGGACGTCCGTGCCAAGAGCACACTCACCCCCGACGGACGGAGGACAGACAGACTCAGGCTCAGCAACAAGGCTAGCGGCGTAGTCGAGACGACAGTGAGCAGCAAAGTCGACAAGCTCAGCAACAAGAGCCGACGCAGCAGTAGACTCAAAGGCAGGGTCAGTGACAACAGTAGCGAGAAGACGCGTAACAGTAGGACTAGCAGCACGAAGGGAGTCAGACTCCGGGTCAGCAAGAGCAGGAAGAGAGGACGCAGGAGGAGACGGCAGAGGGACACGCTGTGGAGCAGTGGAAGGACGAAGTGCCATCTGGTGTGTGCCTGGGACAGCAGGAGGACGCTGACGCGGAACACGACGACCAGTGCGAGCAACACGAACAGGCGACGCACGGCGAGACTCAGGCGACGCAGGACGAGACTCAGGCTCACGACGCTCCGTAAGACCTCCGGTCGGACCAGTGTAGGGAGAAGGACCAGGGAGTGGCGAGGCAGGCTGTAACTGTGACTGCGACTGGACAGGTGGAGGACACTCGAAAGAGGGAGTGGGACCAGTAGCAGGTGGGAGACCAAGAACCTGCTGAAGGAGCGGAACGAAGTACGGCCGCGGCCGCGCAGCGCCTCCAGGACCAGCAGAGGCAGCTCCAGTACCCTCAGCTCCAGGGTCTCCAGCTACAACTCCCGCAGCACCACCAGTAGCTCCAGCAGCTCCAGCACCTACAGCTCCAACTCTAGTAGCAGCTCCAGTACGTCCAGTACGAGCACCTCCAGGGCCAGCGGCCCCAGCAGCTCCAGCACCAGCAGCACCTCCAGCACCTCCAGCACCAGCAGCGCCTCCAGCAGCACCAGGAGGACCTCCAGTAGCACCAGCAGCACCTCCAGCAGCTCCAGCACCAGCAGCACCGCCAGGGGGAGGCCCCCCAGCTCGAGCAGCACGACTACAGCGCCGAGCGTACCACTCACGAAGCTGCCGCGGAGAGAGGGGCTCCCGCCGCGACGGGACACTCGGAGGACCTCCAGTTTCAGCACCCCCAGACTCAGCACCCCCAGGCTCTGCACCTCCAGTCTCAGCACCCCCAGGCTCAGCACCCCCAGGCTCCGCACCCCCAGACTCAGCACCCCCAGGCTCCGCACGCTCAGGCTCAGCACCCCCAGACCCAGCACCCGCAGGCTCAGCACCCCTAGCAGCACCAGAGTCAACAGCTACCTCGACAGGCTCGACTGCGTCTACCTGAGACACACCTGAGGGGGCAGGACCCTGAGGGGGGAGGGGGTCAACCTGGGGAGGACCTGGGGCAAGGAAGAGCGGCGGGGGGGGGGAGGGGGGCAGTGCGGTAGGGGAAGAGGCGGTAGTAGGGTACCGACTCGTCAAACGTGACGTCCTGAGAGGACAGAACACGGCGCGAGGTGGGGTGGTAAAACTGCCAGCCAGGCGCGTCAGGGGGGAAACCAAGGAAGACGCAGGGAACGGCACGGGAGGACAGCTTGTCCGCAGACAAGTCGCAGACAAAAGCTCGAGATCCCCAGACACGGAACCCAGACGCATCGCCAACCTTCCCCGTCCACCGCAGGGTGGGGGAGGTCTCCGGCATGGAGACCCGGGGCTGGAGGTTGATCTGATGCGCCGCGTACTGAACCGCGAACGGCCACAGAAAATGGGGAGCAGCCGCATGGATCATGGACGTATGAGCGACATCCATGACCATGCCAATGCGGCGCTCAGCAATCCCATTTTGCTGTGGAGAGGCCGGAAGCGTGAACGTCTGGCGGATGCCCTCCGCCCGACAGTAGGCCTGCAGGAGGTCGGAGGAAAACTCTCCACCTCTGTCTGAGTGCAGACGCACAACAGGAAAGTCCGAGCCGAAACTCTCTCTGAGCTGGAGACGGTCAGCGCGGATCCAGTCGATCAACACCTCAGTGACCTCACCCTTGCGGCGCAAGGGGAAGACTGTGGTGTAACGTGAGTAGTCGTCAACAACCAGTAGGAAGTAGCGCTCGTGACCCTGTCCACGGACGCGGGCTGGGCCCCACACGTCCATGTGAAGAGTCTGCAGAGGAGCCTCTGTCGGGGGAAACTCGGAGGAGTGAGGAGCGGCGCGCTGCCGGCCCTCGACGCAGGGAACGCAGGTAGGGGCAGACCCCGGAGGAAGGGGAGGAAGGGAAGGGGGGAGACCAGAGACAAGGACACGGGAGGCCATGCCTCTGAGACGAGGCAGGGAGGGGTGACCAAGGCGGTGGTGCCAAAGGAGAGTCTCGTGAGACAGGAGGCGACACGAGCAGGGGGCAGACTCAGGGCCAGACCGGGACGCTGCAGCAAACACCTGACCCGACGCGGCTACCTGACGAGGAGGAGACTCAGTGGTAAGGGTGTACAGGCTGGACCCTGGCCTACGGGTGAACGTGGCCAGGTGACGACCCGTCCGAGCACACGTGCAGTGTGTCACACGCTGGTGGGCAAGGGTGAACTGGTGAACACCCCCATCCTGAAGATCAGCACCCGCCACCAAGTTTGTAGAGAACGAGGGGAGGTAAAGACCAGACAGCGAGCCGGACGGAATAGCAAGACACGAAAGGACAGTGGAGGAACTGGCTACAACGGGTCCCCCAGAGGGGTCAGCTAGAGAGACTGCCACCGGCCGACGGAGCGGCGAGAGGGTGGTGCAGTCGCGAAAGAAGGAACGGGAAGCACCCGAGTCAAGGGTGAAAGTGTGCAAGGCCTAAGCCGACGTGGTACCTGAGGGAGCAGTCTCACCAGCACCTGGAGCAACAGACTCACTAGCACCTAGAGCAGCAGCCTCAATGCCCGGGTCAGGCGGAACACACAGGTAACAGTCACCCTCATCACTAATAGACACAGCATACATAGTAGCAAGGATAGCATCATAGTCAAGATCAAAGATAGCAACCCCCGACTTAAGCAGAATATCCCAGCGAGGGATCTCAGAGGAGCCAGGGAACTGAGTACGCCACGCGTCAGTCAGGCGGCCAAAGCAGCGTGGAGTGGTGTGCGGGCCGCCGCAGGGCTCTCCAGTGCGGTCGCCTGTGCGAAGAACGTAGGTGCAGGGACCAGCACCCCCAGACCTCCCACGCCCAGCGTACCACTCACGAAGCTGCTGAGGCGACAGGGTCTCACGGGAGCGCTGCTGCTGCTGGCGCTGGCCACCGCTAGAGCCTCCCCGCTGCCCACCACCACCCCCGCCACTCCCACCGCCTCCGCCGCCGCCGCTACCTCCACCCCCACTCCCGCTGCCTCCGCCGCCTCCACCTCCACCGCCGCCGCCCCCAGTCCCGCCACCACTCCCACCTCCACCGCCACCCCCTCCTCCTGCTCCCCCGCCACTGCCGCCGCCCCCGCCGCCCCCTCCACCCCCCTTGCCCCACTTGCCCTTGCTGTTGCGGCGCTTGCCACTAGGGGCAGACGTGGTGCCGACCGACTCCGTGCCAACGAGGTCGACAGCAGCAGCAGAGGCAACAGAGGGCAAGAGGGGAGAGGGGGAGCACCCCTAAAAGAAAGGGGCACGGGGGTCACCACGAGAGGCTCCTACAGCGACTATACTCTTCTCAGCTGCAAGGAGGCACTCCTCGAGGAGGTCAACAGTGAGCGTGGTGGGGCAAAATGAGAGGAAGTGGTCCCTGACCGAGCAAAGGGAGTCAGGGAGCCGGGTAACGAGGTAGTAGAGAGTGATGTACATAGGGGGGGGGTTCTTGGCGCAGAACTCAGCAGGAAGCGCAGCGCGGTAGCGGGTGTCACTAGTGCGGAGGTGCATAATGAGGTCAGCGACTGTGGCAAAAGCGGCTAGGTCTGGGAACAGGTACGGCAGCATGAGGCGGCTAAGGGCAGCAGTGGCAGGGGAGGAGTAGCGCGCAACAACAGCGTCGTACAGAGTCCTAGCGGTCTTGTACTGACTAAAGTGCGCGCGCTCAGCAGACGGCATGTGACGGCGAATAGCAAGGCGGGCAGCAGCATCGCGCGTGGTCCACTGTGAGCGAACAGCACTGTCAGCAGTGGCAGCAGGTGCAACAGAGGCGCCAGACGTAAGATCAAAGAGCGAGACCTGATCCTTGCTATCGCACTGCAAGAACAGCTGTAGGTCATCGACCCAGACCTCAAAGTCTACTGCCCGACCCTCAGCATCGAACTTCAGTACGTTGGGGGCAGCCATGACAGCAGTAGGAGGAGCAGTAAAAGCAGTAGGAGCAGCAGTAGCGGCGCGACTCTATAGGGCGGCGCGGCTAGGTAAGGCGGCTCGGCTAGGCAGGGCGGTGCGGTGCGGCAGTGTGCTTACCAGAGGCGGGTGGGTAGGGAGGCCGCTACTGGTGGGGCAGGGCCGCGGTGCGCCAGCAGGGGCGGGGCCGCAACTGGGCGGCAGGTCAGGGCCGCGGCTCGGCTGCAGGGCAGGGCCGGGGCAGGAGCGACGGCAGCGGCAGCGGCGGCGCGGCACACCGACAGAGGCAGGCTCGGCGGCGGCGGCAGGGACAGCAGCTGCTGCAGAGCTCCTCGGCGGCTGCTGCAGAGCTCCTCGGCGGCTGCTGCAGGTGGTGGCCGTGACGGGCGAGAGGGGCAGGGCGGGGCCGCAGCAGGTGACGAGGCAGGGCCGCGAAGGGCCGTGAGGAGGGGCCGCGACGGGCTGCGAAGGGGCCGCGAAGGGCCAGGAGGGGGGGGGGCGCGAAGGGCCGCAAAGGGGCCGCGAAGGGCCGTGAACGGGCCGAGAAGGGCCAGGAGAGGGGCCGCGAAGGGCCGCGAAGGGGCCGCGAACGGCCGTGAGGTGGCCGCGACGGGCCACAAAGGGGCCGCGAAGGGCCGTGAGGGGGCCACGAAGGGCCGTGAGGGGGCCGCGAAGGGCCGCTAAGGGGGGCCGCGAAGGGCCACGAAGGGGCCGCGAAGGGCTGAGAAGGGGCCGCGAGGGGGGCCTTAAGAGGCGCGACGGGCCGCTAAGGGCAGGGGACGCGACGGGAGGGCAGGCGCACGGGGCGCGACTAGGGCAGGTGCGAAGCGCGCTCCGGGCAGGTAAGGAAAAAAAAATCGTAATAGTTGGTGGGCCCTAGGAAACGTTCCCACTAGGGAACTTGCTCTATACCATGTGAAAGTTACGAGGAATGCAATCACTAGAAATGAGTTGGATACAAAAGGGAAACCTAGAAATGTTGTACTCCCTATTGTCTAACCCACTACAGCCTAAACAGACTATAACATAAGTTTGACACCCGCCCCCTTTCCTGCCCCTTCCCGCCCCTTCCCGCCCCCTTTCCTACCCTTTCCCGCCCCTTCCTTCCCCCTTTCCCGCCCCCACCTCCTTCTTTTTCTCCCCTGCAGCAAGCTCATTCTGCCGTCTATCGCGGCACTGCCTCTCCTGATGGCCTATTCAGGCCACACCACCATCGTCATTCCCAAGTCGGTGTGGCCGCTGCTGGCGGGGCTGGTGGGCGAGGAGGTGCTCGTGTGGGACCTGGGCGTGCTGTACAAGGTCTACATGGGCATGCTCGTTGTCTTCTGCTCCAACTCCAGTAACATATTGGCAGGAGTGAATGGCTTGGAGGCGGGACAGACTGCTGTCATTGCTGCCTCGGTAAGGAAGTGCAAGAGAGGGAGAGAACGTGTATGTGTGGGACCTGGGCGTGCTGTACAAGGTCTACATGGGCATGCTCATGGTGTTCTGCTCCAACTCTATTAATATCCTGGCGGGGGTGAATGGCTTGGAAGCAGGGCAGACTGCTGTGATTGCTGCCTCGGTAAGAGTGGGAGAGAGCAGGAGAGAGAGAAACGGAGAGAGGTGCTTTTTACCAGGTATAAGGTGCCCGTGTGGGACCTGGGCGTGCTGTACAAGGTCTACATGGGCATGCTCGTGGTCTTCTGCTCCAACTCCATTAATATTCTAGCGGGAGTGAACGGCCTGGAGGCGGGGCAGACTGCTGACATTTCTGCCTCGGTGAGTGCGAGAGAATGAGGAGAGAGAGAAAGAGAGTGCTGCTTTCTACCAGGTGTAAGGTGCCCGTGTAGGACCTGGGCGTGCTGTACAAGGTCTACATGGGCATGCTCGTCGTCTTCTGCTCGAATTCGATTAACATCCTGGCGGGAGTGAATGGGCTGGAGGCTGGGCAGACTGCTGTCATTGCTGCTGCAGTGAGTGCGGTCTTGATTCCCTTTCCCAGGCGTGCATCCAAACACCTGGACGTGCTCTACAAGGTCTACCAAGGAGAAAGAGAGAGGGAGGTGCTTTCTACCAGCTGTTTTGTGGCCATATGATATCTGGGCCTGCTTACTGTACAAGGTTCGCACGGGCATGATGGACCGGTGGTTTTCTGCTTCATTCTGGCATGAGTGAATGGGCTGGATGCAGGTCAAACTGCTGCCATTGCTGCTGCGGAGATAGTGTTAGAGAAACTACTCTTTAACTCTCAATGCTAGCGTCCAGAATGGTGGACACATCCTCTCCAACTAAGGGTGTCACTCTCTCCTCCTTTTTCATTCTCCTCCCCCCCTCCCCCCCCCCCCCCCTCTCTCCCGCCCTCTCCCTCCCAGGTGCTGCTCTTCAACATCTGGCAAATCGGCGAGCTTCCAGGCTTTAAGCTGCCACTGCAGCCGGACATGCAACAGGCCCACCTCTTCTCCATCTACCTCAGCCTGCCCCTCCTGGCCTGCACACTTGAACTCCTCGTCTTCAACTGGTGAGTCGTCAACTGGTAGTACATTGTGATCATCAGGTTGAATCATGTCTCTTTTCCATCCACCTCGCCTTTTCGGATCATGCAGGTCTGCTTTGAGGGTTCTCAAACGAACATTCGGTTTTTTAGGCGCTTAAAGAATTCTCCATCCACCGTGCCGCGCCATTTCGATGCAGGTGTTCTTTGAGGATTCTCAAGCAAACATTCGATACCAAACCAGCATATCTTTCTATCCGTCTCGACTTTTGAGACATCACAAATTTCTGCTTGAAGCTTTTTGTTGTGGCCCCCCCACTCACGTCTCGCCCCCTATCACCAATGTCTCAGGTACCCCTCTAGTGTCTTTGTGGGAGACACGTTCACCTACTTCGCTGGAATGACGCTCGCTGTGGTCCCCCCCGCCAGCCCCCTCACGGATCCTCTCACCTCCCCCCTTATCTCTCTCCCAGGTACCCCTCGCAGGTCTTTGTGGGTGACACGTTCACGTACTTTGCTGGAATGACACTGGCTGTGGTCGGCATTTTGGGCCACTTCAGGTGGTTCCTTCACTTCAGTAGCTAGTGCTTATTGATCCCTTCAATTCCTCTTTATCATTCCATCGATTTGCTCGTTTCAATCGAATTCATTAATGTCTTGCCAATCTATATTGACCTCCTCTTATCCTTACGGCATTGCATTGTCTGTGACCACCCTATCCTCCTCCACTGTTTCACTCATTGTTCCCTTATCTTCTCCTTTTCTCCCTTTCCTTCCATCAGTGAAACTCTTCTGATGCTCTTCTTACCTCAGGTCATCAATTTCATCTACTCTCTTCCCCATGTGTGTTGCCATTTTTGAGAAATTTAAAAACGTCTTTTTTCCACACGTGTGTTGTATTGTCAATGGCAGATTTCTCGATGAACTTCTAAGTATTGTCTGCCCGAAACATCGGCTGCCCAAGTTCGTCTATGCAACATTTTCCCTCGTCCCTTCCCTCCCTCTGCACCCCTTCCCTCCCCATCCTGTTCACCCCTCCCCTTGCCCCTCATGCCGACCCTTCCTCCCATCCCTTGTCGTCCCATCTCAGCTCTTCAAGTTCGTGCCGTGCCCAAGACATCGCCTGCCCAAGTGAGTACCATGTGTTTGCACTCCCTGACAGAAAAATGGATTTTATACGTCTCAGAACTAGTCTTAGCTCTTCAAGTTCGTGCCACGCCCAAGACATCGTTTGCCCAAGTGAGTGCCATGCCTTCGCACTCCCATTTCGTGAAACGAGGCATTTCAATCTGAATGAGAGCATGTTAAAAAAAGTGCAGGGCAAGAAGTGTCCACACGAGAGCGTTTGACCTTGCATTCTACCTTGAATGAACCAATGTCTGGTCAAGAATCTCAAGAGGGTATGGCGCTGCTGCTACGAAAAGCTGTTGTGGTCTGAGCTCTTCCTAGGTGGCTTCAGTAAGTACAACCCGTGTTTTCTTGAATGTTATGGTGACTGTTTATGAAGCGTGCACAATCACCGGTATAACAGTTCTTTGCGATTCAACTCATCTATACTACCTTTGGTTCCATTCACAAGGAACGGTTGTAAGAGTGAGTGTGCACTCTTTGAAGACAGCCATTTCAAGATTCATGAACTCGGTGGTTGTACTGAAGCCATCCAAGAAGAGCTGACTTCTGAGTCGAACTCACCTTTTGAGTCGACCCAAAAGTCACCTCATTTCAAGATTCATGAACTCGGTGGTTGTACTGAAGCCCCCAGGAAAAGTTAAGACCACAGCAACTTTTGGTAGCAGATATGGCAACGCTATGCCTTTTATGTGCAGGCCTTGGTTTATTTAAGGTAGGATGCAAGTTCAAACGTGCTCTTGTGTGGGCACTACTTGCTCTGCATCGGCACCTGTACAGAGATAAAAGGGAACATATGATGGGAGGATTTGATTGGCTTAAGAATCTCTTAATGGAGATCATCACCTCAGGGCTATAGGATGGAAGAACCAGAAGGGGTTAGCAAATTTGTTGAAACAGTTGAGATTTCCTCAGAGCTCGGCCGTTCTCGGTAACCCGAGTATGTGTGCCGTCAAGGCCTCGTTGATCTTGACACTCCAGCGTTGGCAGTACTAACGAAGCAGCTTGGCTACCTCCGCTGAGGTTGGTGCCACGATGAACTTCCTGCCTGGCAAGAGAGTTGATTCGCTCTCTCTCTCTCTCTCTCTCTCTCTCTCTCTCTCTCTCTCTCTCTCTCTCTCTCTCTCTCTCTCTCTCTCTCTCTCTCTCTCTCTCTCTCTCTCTCTCTCTCTCTCTCTCTCTCAAGCAGTCCTTCATTGATAGGTTCATAGGGGTACAGGCATGGCAAGAACAGGTGCAGAACATCCCTAGTACTATGAGCAGCCGGTAATGCTTGGCAGGGCTAAGGTAGGCACGACGGGTAGCCAGGCGAGCAAGTCATCGGTACCAGTAGGTCAGGACCTTGAGGGCAGGGGAGGGGAGGCAAAATACACAGGGCAGGCACACAAGGCAAGGCCAACCCGAGCAAGGCAAGCAAGACAAGGCAGGGCCGGAAATGCAAGTGACTAACACTCAGCTAGACACCCATTCCGTTGCTATCCCGCTCACTGACCCATCACCCCGTCCATCTCATCCTCCAGGACCTGCCAGAGATCCCCTAGGCTAGGTTCCCAGGGGTCTCTGGCCGCCTGTGAGAAGGCTGCCACGTCCCCTATGTTCGACTTGTTCAGGAATGACGAGGCCTGTGAGCGCTGGAGCATGACGCTGAAGCGCTGCCTGTAGTGAGTGGTGAGCCGAGCAGTGGTGGTGGTGAGCCTCCCCTGGCGGAACCTTCTCTTCGCCGTCGAGGCTGCTAACAAGCGGATGAACTGCTGTGTATCCGTAGCTAGGGCACCGTATGTTTCCACCGCCAACCCGAAGAAACCCACGTAGTCAGGCCGCCCCTCATAGATCCTGTGTTTCCTCTCTGAAGCTTCCCTTGCCGCCCATCCAGGTGGCTTCCGGGCGCGCTTGTCACGGCACTGCAGCACTGGGTCGGTTACTGTCACGTCTGTGACCCAAGTCTCATTCGACTCCTTGTCCCGAATAGCAAGGTCTCCTCTCTTCCTCAGCACCGGTGGGGAAAAGGCAGTGGTTTCGTGGAAAACCGTGAAGTCGGCCTCCTTCGCCATCCGGAGCAGAGCAAACACTAGAGCATTGTGTGTGCGGACGACATCTCCCCCGTACCCACACCGCAAGAGGTGGTTTGCCAGGCTCGTGTCCGTGATTGCAGTGTTGGCGCGCTTGCACGGGCAGGTGACTGTGACTGGAAGAGTCATGCCGAGGCGAAAGCCAAGTGCCAACGAGAACTGACCAGGGGCGAAAGTAAGGTCAGATCTCGTTGGGACGGCATGGAGCCAGTCCCCCGCGCCCACCCCTTGCAAACTGATGAGCCGTACTGCGTGCCCACGGTCCTTCCCTGGGCGGTCTTCTATTGTGTCAGCCAGCAGCTCCGCCGCCCTCGTCTCATTGATGTGGCGAGACAGGGTCAGTTGAAGGTTCCCCTGTCCCGCCGGCTGCTCCCTGTAAGTGTGTAGTGCCGCCCGTGCAGCTATGGGTAGCCCAGCTTCCAGAGTTGTCAGGGGGTTGATGCCGGGTGGGGTAGGGGTCCAATCGTGGCACAGCAGCTCGACTGCCCTGCTCAGGAGATAGGCCTCAGGCAAGTTCATCTGGCGCAGCAACCGCTGCGCCGCCGTGACCGAGGCGATGTAGGCCGCAGGTGCCTCGGAGACTGGGTCAATAATCCCCAAACCTCCCAACCTGACCGGCAGAGTCCCCTGGCGCCACAACAGACTCCTCTCCAGCTCGTCTGTAGGTACCCGAAGCTTCGCCGCTGCTAGTGCCGTTGCCATCAGGGTCTCACTCCAGCCCCTCCACCCCTCTCTCCCCAGGACTTCCGCCGGTGTCGTCCGCAGAAAGTAGGAGATTCGGCGGGATATGCTCCTCGTGAGGATGAGCATTGCGCTCTGCGGGTGGAGCTGCGCCACCAGAGGTAACGGGGCCGACGCCTCATCAAGCCGTGTCTGTGCTTGGGTGGTGCAGAAGGCAGGCAAGCCGACTGGGCTGCCTAGAACCCGGATCCCATCTGCGATCTGCTGCAGGCCGATGGGAGGTGGCGTGCCGCCGTCATCCGCGAGCGATTGTCCCCATGCCGACGATTTTGCGATGTTGCAACGGAGGCCGAGCGTTGCCAGCTCCCTGGTAATGGCCCCAAAAGCCTCGTAGCAGGCCTCCTTCGGCCCCACTATCGTTATGTCGTCGGCGTAGGCCACTATCGCGACTTCCGGTAAGAAGGTCGCCGTGCTTAGCAGGCATGGTTGAATCGCGGCCGCAAAGAGTAGTGGACCAAGCGGGTCCCCTTGACGCACCCCGCGTGACGAGAGGATATGGTTCACTCCTAAACGTTCGTCGACCAAGAGTGACGACGGTGCCCCATAGAGAGTTCGGACCAGGGGCATGAGCTGCAGCAAACTGGACTGGGAGAGAGCGTTGAAGAAAGCCGCCCGTTCGACACTGTTGAAGGCGTTTTCTATGTCCAGCTGTAGCGCTACTCGTGTGTCGTCGTCCCTTAGTAACGATCTGACGGAGTGGATGATACACTCTGCGCCTCCCGGTATCGCCACCCCAAACTGCACTGGTAGGAAAAAAACTCTGATGTTGTCGGTTAAGCCACGTAGTGCTGCCTTAGCTACGACTCGAAGTAAAGCCTCCCCTATCGCAATAGGACGAACGCCTCCTCCTGGCTTTTCTAGGGCGATCAACCGTGAAGGCAGCAGCAAGTCGCGGGTCGTTTGTGCCTGGAACGTGCTCAACAGGTAAGTCACTACCTTAGCGAGTAGAATAAGCACCTCCCCGTTTGCCAGTGCCGGATCCTTCAGGTGTTCGAAACAGGTGCCAGATGGGCCTGCTCCAACCCCGTTCGGGCATTTCTTGAGGATTTCGCGAAGCTCGTCCGCTGACACACTGAGGGTCGAACGGTTGAACCCGGTAACCAGATCCGGTAGCGATGTTTCAGCTGCGGGGTGTTTCGCTTGGAGGGCAGACAACGTCGCAGCCGTGGCTTCTGCGAGCGGTGTAGTTCGTAACGCCGCAACCGCCTTGGAAATGTTTCCTTTACGTATCAAACCCTCCGCCCTTGCGCATAAACCTGCGTCATCTGGTTGGTGTCGTATCGGACTCTCGTTGTCGGGGATGACACATGCGTCGGTGTAGAGGGGCTGCCAGATGCCGAGTTGGAACTGGTGCAGGCGCAGCTCTATTGCCGTCCACCGACTGCCTTCAACGGGTTCAGGGGCCGGACGCAACGTCAGCCTCGGCAAATACTGCAGGATCGCCCATGCGCCTGGGCAGTCAGGATATTTCGAGAGTCGAATGAGTGGCGCCAGGAGGCAGAGCGTGTAGCTTTCCAGGATCTTGGGCGGCATTCTGCGCACCACGAAGGGTTGGTCCCCTTTTTGGAGTGGGTATTTCTCCCACGTGGCTGCCAGCTCCCAGATGACAGTGTCGTCCGCCAGGTCAGACGGTGATCGGACCCCTGAGTCACTCTGTCCCTCATTGGGTGCGTCCCCGTTCTCTCCCACCACCCGAGGGTTTCCCCTCTCTCCATTCACCTCCTCGTTCCTAATTCTCGTCCCCTGTGGGTTATCGGCCTGGGGGTTTAGCCCGCTGCTCTGGTTTCTCCTTCGCTCCCCAGCCCTTCTCGCCACGCGTACATCCTCCTCGTCCTCCAACGAGATTTCCTCAGATGGCTCCGCCGATTCAGCTATATATTCTTCCCCCTCCTCTATGTTGGCCTCATCATCTTCGTTTTGATTCGTCGCTGGCTCCGCTTGCTCCGGTCGGACGTGGCGTTCCCGCCACGTTCCCGTTCGCACAAGCGCAACCCTTCCGCCAACGATTGGACCCCTTCCGCCCCGTCCCCCTCTGGCACCTCGCCCTCCTCCCCTCGTTCCGCGAGCCGTAGCTCCGCCCCTGGTGCCGGCGTTCTGCTCGCCTCGGCCGGTCTGTTGCGGTATTCCCGCCGGGATCCACGGCGCCAGCATCGCGTTGCCTGGCCAACCCTTGGCGGGCCCCAGGTAATGCCTTGTGCTCTCGTCCCACTGCGTGTTTCACGCCGCGGGGTCTGTTGAGCTGTGACGGCAACCGTGGTTGTTCTCTCTCCCCCCCCTAGCCGAAGTCAGCGAATCCCGGCGCGGTGGTTGTTGCGTTGATGGACCTGCCACTGCATTCCCTGCCGCGTTGTTGCTCGCTGTGGGTGCTAGCCTGATACCATTCCCTGCCTCCATGTCCCCGCCACTTGTCCCCCCAGATGGCCACTGTCGCTCTTGCCCTTGTGGCAACTGCCCTTGCAGAAGCCAGCCCAGAAGGGGTCCCGGGGGACCAGGTCCCAGCCCTTCTCCGGGCCGCCTCGGTGCTGGCTGGGCTCGAAGCTTCGTCTTCCCGCGGGCAGCGCCGGAAGTCCCGCCGGGTCCGTGACCCCGTCTTTCGCTCCCCCCCGGCCGTGCCCCTGCTTGCTTGCGCCCTCGGCAACAGCAGACGTTCCGGCGCTCGCAGCGGCAGTCTGCGCATCCTCCTCGGCCAGGGCTCCGTCCTGTTCCCCTGCCGCCGCCGTCACCGCCGCGGCCAGCACAGACGCCGTCACAGGCTCCGGTGACACCGCCAGCTCCACCTCCTCGGTCTGTTCCTGAGCCACTGCTGGTGCCGGCTCCTCCGGCTGCCACGCCTGGGGGATGGCAGAGGGTGAGGCTGGGCCACCGCCAAAGGCAGCGTCAGGCCCGTCAGACTCAGCAGCAACCTCCGCCCCAGTCGCCTCAGCAGCAAGCCCCTCCGGACCCGCAGCCACCACAGCCTCAACCATCACAGCCGCCTCCGGCTCTGTCATTGTTGCGGCATTTCCCGCTGCCGCCGCGGCCGCAGCCGCATCGCCCCCTGCCTCCTGGTCCTCCGCCAACTCCTCAGGTGTTGCTATTCCCTCCCGGCCCCCCAGCTCCCCGCGTCGCTGCTCGTGTGGCCGCGACTCCTCTCCACGTCGAGCAGCGCGTAATGCACGTGGGGACGTGTTTGACGCTGCTGTCATACGTACTGGACCAGCTCCATGTGTGTTTGGCGCGCCAGGGAGTGGAGGTTGGGGCGATGGAGCCGTCAGAGCAGTCGGCGGCGGTGTCTGCAGCGACGGAGATGCTCCATTATCTCCCCCTGATCGGACTTGTCCAGGGCGCCCCTGGCGCAGCGCTCGGGCCTGGCCCTGGGGCGATGTTGCGGCTTGCTGAGTCCGCTCGGGAGGCCCCTCTTGGCCTTGTATCAGCAGCCGCATCCGTCCTTCGCTGGATGGACGGGAGGCTTTGCTGGATACTCGCTGAGTAGCGGGCGTTTTCCCCTTGCCGGCCTCCTTAGTAGCTGGCCGTGCCTTGGGCTTCCCCATGGCGGTGTAGGCACGCCTGGGGGTGTTGCTGTTGTTGTGTGTTGTCTAGCCTTGCATGTTGTACTGCTCCATGCTATAGTCCTTGTTCCCTTGGTCCTTGTCACACCTCACGCGCGGCCGTAGGCCGCGCTGGCGAGCGGCGGCCGCCGAAGGCGGCCGGCGCGAGCCGCCGGTTTTGGAGAGTGAAATGAACTCACCAGTGAAGAATGAGCTCCAAGGGGTGCATCTAAGGACTTTATACTAGGAGACTAGGTTAAAAAACGGCTAAGGAATGGATTCTACACTAGAGAGGGCTAAAAACGGCTAAGGACTAGACCTAAGCCATCTCTCTCTCTCTCTCTCTCTCTCTCTCTCTCTCTCTCTCTCTCTCTCTCTCTCTCTCTCTCTCTCTCTCTCTCTCTCTCTCTCTCTCTCTCTTAAATGGTCCTTTGTATTAATTCAGCAGGGGATACAGACATACAGTTTGCCTTGTGAATCCCTTAGACCCTCTGACCCATTAACCCATCCCTCTGACCCTCCCCCCCCCTGAGTGACCCTCTACCCTTCCAGCGTGTGGAGGATGTCCCCTAGGTGCAGCGGCCATGGGTCCGCTGCCATCTGGGGGTGCGCCGCCTCGATCCCCGCCCTGGCCTTGGTGTGCAGGGCATTCGCCTGGGAGCGCTGGAGGGCCACTGACCAGCGCTGGCTGAAGTGGCAGGCCATCTTCTTGTCAGATTTTGCCAAGGGGTTGGCCCTGAAGCGGTTGCTAGTTGCTGTTGTGGCGAGCAGCTTCAGGAACGCCGTCGTGGGGGCCCCGTTTGCCCCGTAGGTCTCGACGGCCAGGGCGCAGAACACCACGTGTTCTGTGTGCCTGTAGTAATCCCTTTCCTTCCTCTTCTGTGCCTCCCTTGCAGCCCAACCTGGGGGTTTGCGGGCTGCGGGGTCTCGGTTCTGTAGCACAGGGTCAGTGATAGTCGTGTCTGTGATCTAGGTCTCTCCACTGTCTGGGTCGCGTACAATCACATCGGCCTTCTTCGGGTCATCCGGTGGTGAGTACATTGCATTCTCCAAATATACCACCAGCTGTGCCTCCCTCGCCATTTTAGCCACAGCGAAGGCCAGCTGCTTGTGTGTGCGCGTTCTGTCCGGGCCTGTGCTGCAGCAGAGTAGGTGGTTGGGTAGGCTGCAGTCGGCTACGAGCTCTCCACACTCGCACACGGTAGGTACATTTTGTCGGATGCCCATGCGGAAGGCCAGGGCTGTTCAGAATTGCCCTGGTGAGAAGCAGAGGTCTGGAGCCAGGGGTAGGGCTTGCAGCCATGCCCCCGCTCCCTCGCCTCTCAGGCTGACGAGGCGGAGCGTGTGGCCCATCTCGGGGGTTGACCTGATTGCGCGTGATTCCGTTGTCAGGGCGTCGGCCTTTGTTGCGTGCACTTCCTGAGAGAGGGCGCGCTGCAGCTGGTCTTAGGACGGGGTTTCCTGCTCCTCGCGGAGGTGTTGCAGCGCCAGCGACGGCAGTCACCCCTCCATGTCTTGGATGGTGACCGAGTGCGCTGCAGACGGCTGCAGGGCGTTGCTGTTGCTCCCTAGTGCCGCGGTTGCTGGAAGGTCAAGTGAGCGGAGCAGGTGTAGCGCCTCTGTTGTCGACGCCAGGTAGGCTGGTGCTGCTTCTATTGTGGGGTCCGTGAGGCCCAGTCCACCTAGGGCTACTGGGAGGGTTGCTTGGCGGATAAGAAATTTGAACTCGGCTTCGCGGCGGGGTGGTTGGATGCTGGTGGCAGTCAGGGCGGTGTTGAGCAGTTCGGCGCACCACGCGTGCCATTCCGAGAGAGGTAAGACGTCTGCTGGGGTGGTGTGCAGCAGGTAGCCGATTCTGCGGCTGATGCAACGGGACAATAGCAGGAGGGCATGCTGTGGATGGATGGATGCTAAGGAGCCCAGGGGTGTCGCCGCGTCTGTCAGAGTACTGCGGACGAGGTCAGAGCAGAAGCGCTGTGACCCCACAGGGCTTCCCAACACCCGTACCCCCTCGTGGGTTAGGGGGAGGCCCTCGGGGAGCTCGTCACCTTCAAGCGGCGAGGAGGACCACGCCGACGACTTTCTGAGGTTGCAGCTGAGGCCATCCTGGGCGAGCAGCGGCGTCAGCACCCTTAGCGCGCCGAGCATTGCTGTCGCCGGTCCGATCATGGTGATGCCGTCTGCATATGCTAGGATCGTTACTTCCGGGTGCTCTGCTGCTACGCGTCTAAGGTGCTGCTGGGTTGATGCCGCGAACAGCAGGGGTCCGAGGGGGTCCCCCTGCCTAACTCCCCTTCCGCTGGTGAGTGCCGTTATGCTCAAGCGGGGATCGGTCAGCAGCAGTGAAGGCGTCGCGTAGAAGGAGCGAGTGAAAGGTATGAGCGGAGCTAACGGGGTGTTGGTGAGTGCGTTGAAGAACGCTTTCCTCTCTACGGAGTTGTAAGCGTTTTCAATGTCAAGTTGGAGGTCTCTAACTGCGTGGATAATGAACTTAGCCCCGCCTGGGACTGCCACGCCGAATTGTTGGGGTAAGAAAAATCGCCTTGTCTCTCCTTTCAATTTGGGGTTGGGGATGTTTCGATTCCAACTGCTGCAGTGTCGCAATTGTCGCAGGGGTGGCTGGCGAGGGTTGAAGGGCTGCCAACCCTTTTCGCAGGTTACCCCGTTTCACCAACCCCTCCACACGTGAGCAGATTCCAAGGGGGTCATTTTGGTGCTGATGTGGCTCAGCTTGGTGCAGGGATCCCACGTAGTCACTGTACAGCTGGTTCCAGTGGCCACATCTGAATAGGTGCATCTGTGCTCGCAGCACATTCCACCCAGAGCTGGACCTCCTGCTAAGTCTTAAGGTGAGACGTGGCAGGAACATGAGGACCCGCCACGCTCCCGTGCAGTTTGGCAGCTTGGAGATCCGTAAGGGGGCGGCCAGCATAAAGGTGGAGTAATCGCTTAGGATCTACGGCGGTAGGCGGCGGACGATAGGCAGGTGAGTGGTCGACGTTAGGATAGTAGAGTCCCAGCTCATCGCGATCTCAAAGAGATCCTCCCTCGATGCCAGCTGGGACGCTCAAAGGCCCTGGTCCGGAGGGGGTTGGGGTCTGCGGTTCTGTCGACGGCTAGATCCTCTCTCCTGCTGCTGCGCCTGCTCCTCCCCCGCTGTTAGAATCTAGCAGCAGGAATGATTGAACTATGAAAGAGTTGGGTACAAATATGAAACCCTAAAGTGGGCTGTACCCCATATTGGCTACCCCACTACAGCCTAAACATATATAGCAGATACAACATTTGACACACCCACATAGGCAAAGTGGGGGAGAGCAAGGGGTCACAAGACCAGTCAAGAGAAGCAAAGCAAGCTCAGGGTGGATCACAACGTCACCACACACACTGAGCACAAGCAAAGGGCCACAAGGCCAGTTCACATGCAGAGGTATATATGCAACAACAACAGCACAGTGATCTCTACCTAGCAGAACAGGCATGCAGGTATAAATATATAGATCACAGTACAAGCAAAGTCTACAGCAAGTGAGGCAAAGTGGGCACAAGGCCTAACAAAGTGCAGAAACGCTGATGATCACAAGACGGAAGTGCCTTGGTGAATATATCAGCAGTGTTGGCCCGAGTGGCCACGTGAGCAAGACGAAGCTGACCACGCTGCTGCAACTCTCGAGCCAGGAAGTAACGCAGAGCGATGTGCTTCGTTCTGTGCTCCAGTCTGTGCTCCTGACACAAGGCAATGGCGGCCTTGTTGTCGACGTACAGCACTGGAGGAGAACGAGGCCTCTCTCCCAAGTTGGTCAGCAGGTAGGTGAGCTTGCGTAACTCCTATGCAGCCATGGCTGTGGCGTAGATCTCAGCCTCACAATTGGAGCTGAGAACAGAAGACGAGCGTGTAGAATGCCAAGAAACTGAACCAGAGCCAAGGCTGAAGGTGTAACCCTGTGACGACCACTGCGTAGCCTGGTCGTCAACCCAAGAAACGTTTGAGTGCCCAGTGAGGACAACTGCGCTCCGCCCTCCAAGCACGAGCCACATGCCCGTTGTACCGCACAAGTAGCGCAGTACCCTCTTCGCAGCATCCATGTGCACCTTTCGGTGCCGACCAGGAGCCACGTAGCGAGCCAGAAGGCCAAGAGGGTACGCAAGGTCAAGTCGAGTGCAGGTCATCAGGTACATGAGGCAGCCCACTAGCTCTGGGTACGGGCCACTCGGCTCTACGGACTCGTCCGAAGGTGGAGCTGAGAGCGAGTGGCCTGTAGCCAGAGGAGTGTGCTGTGGCGAGGACCAGGTGAAGCCGAAGCGCTGAAGGACCTGCTGCACCATGTGTGACTGAGTCAGTGTAATGGTGCGGCGTGCTCTGTCCCGGGTGATCTGCAAGCCAAGGTAGCTGCGCAGTTCACCCAGGTCTGTGCACGTGTGTCTCTTCTGCAGCTCCGACTTTCACCAGGGCGAGAGCCTCAGTGTCAGCAGTGGCAAAGACCAAGTCGTCGACGTACACGAGGATGTAGAACGGCGGCAGCGACGTGTCGGTGCGCAGAAATAGCGACGGGTCAGCAGTCGACGGAGCAAACCCAAGAGCCGCAAGTGTAGTCCTCAGTGTGTCGTGCCACTCACGCGGTGCCTGGCGGAGACCGTAGACTGGCCGCCGGAGGCTC